TGTTTAATCAGCATTTGCCCAGATGACTGAAGAGCTGGGGCAGGAGCAGCAGCTAGCCTATCTCATTCACCAGGTTCCTTTATTTGGAGTTAGGCAGACAAACTTCAGAGATGGCCCCTTATACAGGAAAGAGAGTTATAGTCAGAGGCTCCAGCATGAATCATCAAAGCACATGCAACAGCAGAGGCCAAGGTATCAGTCAGCTAGAATGTGAGACTACTCTTGGCCGGCAATCTGACCTGCAGGGCTGGAATGCTCACGGACAGAGGAGAGGTTTTGCTAGGAAACAAGGACGGGAGGTGCAGGGCAATGTGTCGATTATTAGTCTGGAGCTGAGTAACAGCCCTCTCTGATTCCTTCATCTGAACACCTAGTAGTGATTAAGAAAGAATCACATTTGAATACAAATTCTCATCCCCCTCCCTGCCTCTAAATAAATGGCCATGTGATGAGAGTAGGGATACCCACTCTCTCAGGTAACACATCACATAGCCTTGGCAGAGACGCATCTTTCCTCTAATCCCTGACCGATTCAATATTTTACCTCCAAACCTGCTTACCTGAGCCAAGGTTCAAGCCCTATAAGGGAATATGTAGAGCTGGTACCATTGGCAACGAAAGGCTAAGAGGTCAGAGTGTCTACCCTGCGACCAGACTACTGATATAATGAACTGGGTGAGATCAACTGGCCAGGAGCAGAGTCCAAAGAAGCCTCACCTCTCATACTCACCTCCAGCAGGGTGGAGGGGGTAAAAGTCCTCAGGACCCCATGTTTTTGCCCCTCCTCCTCCCTTGCCTGCTTCTTAAGTGTGGTGAGCAGAGTTGAGCTTACACGCCTCCTCAGTTGTGCCCAGAATCACGTGGAGGGGTCTCTTGGTTTGGAGCACACTGGCAGCTCTTGCTTCTTCCTTCCTCCTCCCTGCCCGTCCCCTGGCCCTATTCCCCCACTCTGCAGGGTAGTGGGTTAGAAGGCAGGAGATGAGGTATTGCAGGGTGACAGCTGAAGGTGTCATCTGCCCCAAGGCCAAACTAAGACAACCAGAGATCTGTCCCATGGGCTGAGATGAGGCCTGCAGACAAAGCCTCAGGCTCGAGGTCAGCTCGCTATTTTTGTGGCTGGCATTTCCCACTCCTGAGGTACTTCCAGAAGTCCTGCTGCTAGCCCAAGAGCTGCAGAGGTTCTGTGGCTGCTCAATTCAGCCCTGCATCTGCAAGGCCTGCCTTCACCAGCAGGGTGTGTCCGCCTGGTTTAATCAGCGCTTTGGATGGGCCCTGAAGTCCTGATGCAACTGGAGACCACCCCATCTCGAGGCCGGTGGATGCTCAGTCCTGGGCTCGGGGCTGCACCCTTTTATTGACCCTTTCCTCTGCTGGGCCTCCAGCTGCAATGGGTCCAGCCTTTCCTTGGTACTGGAACTAGTGGTGTGATAAGCAGCCTGTGTTCTCCATAGGCACCAATGCCAGGACATCTAACCCAATATCAGCTGGTCAAGAAGCTACCCTAACCGATCCCCAGTCCACAGCTAGACCCCGAGATCCGACTCTGCCAGTCCTGTGCCATGTGTATTTGGGATATAGGATAACCATCACTGAGCGCCACACTGTGGTCAGGTGGGGGCAGGAGGGTAAGGGTGAGAGGCAGCACCAATCTGAGCCCCAGTACCTTCCTATCTCTGTAGAATGAACACAGGGTCTGTTCTGGGCTTTGAGAATAATGTGAGTAACGGAAACTCCCTGCGCTTAAAGCACCCGGAATACTCATGGCCTGAATGAGAACACCCGTGTGCTGTGGCTGTCACTGAAGCCTCCACACCTAGTGTGGACTGAAATGGTTTTATCAGGTGGTATGACTGGTGGGGGCCCCAGGCCTGGCACAGACAGGTATCAACACTGATCTTGCCCTCCCTGTGCAGCCTGTAACCGTACACTCCCCACCCTCCCTATGCCAACATATACCAGCTTCTCCTTCTGTAATAGGTATATTCATGTCAGACAGCTTTTCTGCCTCCAGGGTGCTGGCAGTCCCATGTGGGAAGCAGAGGAACAAAGGTCACTAGATTGGGAGGTGATGGTCACCACTCTAACATACAAAGCATGCAGGCTCCTTGAGAGAACAGGGGTAGTACCTGCCAGACCCCAGCACTCCCTGGGAATAAGAACATTGCCAGTCTCTGACGACTCTTGTTCTCTTCTGGTTTCAGGCCTTTCTAGCCAGTACCAGCTTCTATCAAAGCAGATAAGATTAGTAAGGGGGAAAGTTTTCTGCAGAAGATAACCTCTGTGGCTGAGCTGTAACCTTCATTTCCCATTTGCTGGACTCAGCACTCTGGTTATGCCCTGCTAAATGTGACAAGGTCAGGAAAGGAAGCTCTGGTCTCATTCTCTTAGGCAAAGTTGGGTCCCCCCCTGGATGACACATATTCCTTCCTTCATGTTCTCCACTTCAGGTCTCTTTGGGTCTGGAGCTGATAAAAACAGCAGTTTTCAGCTGGGTGCGGTGGCTCACACCTGTAACCCCAGTACTTTGGGAGGCTGAGGTGGTCAGATCACCTCAGGAGTGTTGGTCAGAAGTTTGAGACCAGCCTGACCAACACTCTACTAAAAATAGAAAAATTTGCCGGGTGTGGTGGTGCACACCTGTAATCCCAGCTACTCAGGAGGCTGAGGCAGAATTGCTTGAACCTGGGAGCAGAGGTTGCAGTGAGCGGAGATTGCACCATTGCACTCTAGCTTGGGTGACAGAGTGATACTCTGTCTCCCCCTACCTCCACCCAAAAAAGAAAGCAGTTGTCACTATTACTGGTGGGACACTCCAGAGGTGATCCTCCTACTGGGCAAGGAAAGTGTACTTTAGAACGCCAGAGTGGAGGCCGGGCGTGGTGGCTCATGCCTGTAATACCAGCACATTGGGAGGCCAAGGTGGGAGGATCATGAGGTCAAAAGATCAAGACCATTCTGGCCAACATGGTGAAACCCCGTCTTTACTAAAAATACAAAAATTAGCAGGGTGAGGTGGCGTGTGACTATAGTCCCAGCTACTTGGGAGGCTGAGGCAGGAGAATCACTTGAACTTGGGAGTCGGAAGTTGCAGTGAGCCAAGATCGTGTCATGGCACTCCAGCGTGGCAACGAACGACTGTCTCAAAAAAAATAAAAATAAAAAAGCCAGAGTGGAAGATCGTCCAGAAGCGCGAGTGTAAGGGCAAGAGCACAGTCTATACTTGAAGGCCAACCCTGCTCTGAATATCTGGTTGGGAGGGGAAAGCCTCGGCTGAGGTCTGTAATGGAGTTGAGGGGCTCCTGAGGGTTGGATGGAAAGAAGGGCAAATACAGGTTAGTCTAATCCTGATAAAGACCCTGCTTGGCAGCCTCTAAGATGTCTTTCATTCGCTGGAACCTCTCTGATGCCCAGAAGCTATGTTGGGCCTGAGGCCTTGACTTGTGACCTACAGAAAATGATGCTGAGAAGAAACTCCAGGGTAAAAAACTGGGCCCCGCTGTCAGTCTGAGCCTGAGAACCAGGGCTGGAGGACCTAACAAGTGAACAACCAAGAGAAGTCTTGTTTGTCCTCAGCAACTCCTAGCACAGAAGTGGCCTAGAAGCCAGGTAAAGATTTTAAGCTACAGGGTATCTGACTGGAAGTAGAAACCAGGGTAGCATTTCTGGGTCCCCAGATCCATTTCTAGGGTTTTGGAAGTTTTCACTAAGCATCTGTTGCTGAGCTGCACGTGTGGGTTTCTGGAACAAAGCTCTAGCCGCTATAAACATCATTTCCACTTGGCGTGGTGTAAGGAGACTAAATGCGGCCGAGCCCCTAATTAGGTCTGGTTGAGGGGGTATTGCTCTCATACCCCCAGCATTCTTAGCTAGGTCTCAGTTCCCTTCCCAGGCTTAGTGAAGAGGAATTCCAGATTATGGTGGGAGTGCCAGAGGAAGGTAATGGGCTGCTTCTTTAAAGAAAACTGTTCTGGTTGGGCATGGTGGCTCATGCCTATAATCCCATCGCTCTGAGAGGCTGAGGTGCGAGGATCACTTGAGCCCAGGAGTTTCAGGCTGTAGTGAGATGTGATTGTGCCACTGCACTCCAGCTTGGAAGACAGCTCAAAACCCTGTCTCTAAAAAATAAAACAATTTTTAGGCATTAAGGAGGCTGCCAGCAATAGGTCTTAGGCCTGTGAGCTGAGTTCCATGCAGCCTCCACTAGGACCAGTTCGTCGGTGAGGAATTCCACCATGGTCCAACGTCCTGATTGCCTTGACACGTGGTTGGACTACAGGGGACCAGGTCAGTTTCAGCCAATATGCCCAGAATGGGATACCTCAAGGACATCTACCCAGAGTAGAAGAGGAATGAGGCCGCGTGGAGCTTCCGAACTCAGAGATTCTGACTTTAGCTGAAGGTCAATGCTGATTTTGAGGTCCTAGACTTCTTTTAACCCTCTATGATCTCCCCTCTCAACCCACCCAAGCTCAGCTCCAACCCCTGCCACAGACAGACCAGACTTCTCATGGTGTGCTTGGCAACACCCCCGACTCCACTCTATCCTTCAAGGGCCAGTTCCTGCCTCCCTTCTTCAGCCCCTGGAATTCCTACAGTTCTAGTTAGTACAAGAATTGCCTCTGACTCATAAATGCCTATTAGTCTGTGCTCATCAACTGGACTGCAGGCTCTCTGTGGGCAGGAGCTTTGTCTTGTGTGTTTTCTGAAACCCTCCCCATAACAGAGCATGGTGTACAATAAACACATGCTACCTCGACAGGAATCTCTGGCGAGTTCTTCCCTCATCAACTCCCTTGATGTGCTGCCGCCGTCCAGCTGCACAAGTGGAAACAGCAGCAGAAAATGAATGCAAAGACCCCAGGGTTTATTATCGAGGGGAAGTTGAAGGAGGTGGTGAAGTGCTAGGAAAATAAATCTAGACGAGAGGCAATAGGTGTTCCTCAGCCAGGGCAAGGCACTCCTCTGGGTGATTCCGTACGTAGCAAGGAAATGCAATTTACCTCATTCCCAGGTGAGGTGGGACCCTCACAGTGTTGTAGGTTTCCTTCTTTCCGGGAACACCAGCTGACCTGGGGCTCCTAAATGCCTAACAGAGCCAGGCTTTTCCTTTGGCAAACCTGTAGGTGTGCAGAGGGGCCGCAACCACGGTACAGTCTTCTGCCTGTGTGGTCCTGGCTGTGGCTACTACCTGGAGGTGGCTTGGGTAGTGCTGGGGCTGGGGTGTAGCAGGACTGGCCCTGGGGATGTAAGACTTTGAGTCAGGGACTCATCCAGCCTGCGGGTCTCTGCCTCCAGGACAGTGGCCTCAGGGGCCTGGGCCACGGCGAGAAGTGAGTGTGAGAGGCTGTGGTGCAGGCCTGCTAGCTCGCGGCTGGTCTGTACTGAGCGGGCGATGTATTCCTGCTTCTGCTTCCACTCCAGAGTCAGCTGAGCTCGAAGCAGGGCCACCTGGTGGGCAGGAAAACCAAGAGGGAGAGCAGCTGAGGGCCCTCAAGTTATTACAGCTCTTCCTGCTCTGTTCCTGTGATGCTTGTCTGAGCATCTGAATCAACTCTACCACATACACCAATCTCAGAAACAGACTTCAGAGAGTTTAGGGGAAGGGCCCTTAGGAATGATAGGATACAGTAATTCTCAATCCTGGCTGCACATGTGACTCAAATAGGGAGCTTGAAAATTACAAAGCTATTCATCAACTTCACTGAAAGATAATTTACATGTGGTGAGAAATGCCCAGATCTTAAATGTACTTTTTGATGAGGCTGATAATATATACCCATGTATAACCACTAACTGACTTTTTTTTTTTTTTTTTTTTTTGAGATGGAGTCTTGCTCTGTCACCCAGGCTAGAGTGCAGTGGTGCAATCTTGGCTCACTGCAACTTCTGCCCCCGGGTTCAAGCGATTCTTCTGTGTCAGCTTCCTGAGTAGCTAGGACTACAGGTGTGCAACACCACACCGGGCTAATTTTTATATTCTCAGTAGAGACAGGGCTTCACCATATTTGGCTAGGCTGGTCTCAAACTCCTGATCTCAGGTGAACCGCCCGCCTTGGCCTCCCAAAAGTGCTGGGATTTCAGGTGTGAGCTACTGTGCCCCAGCTCTGACTTTTTAACAGAATAGAAAAGCATTCTGAGTTTAAAAGAATTCAAAGTAATAGTTTAGGTCTAGCTATAGAGTCAGGCCCTGCCAGTAATGACTACTGATTTCTGAAATAGGCTCAGAAATAAAAAGGAAACACTTCTTATGACTCCTGGGCTTTGAAAGGGAGAGTGGACTTTTAAGTGAGGCCTAAGAGGCAGGAAGGCTCTTCAAGTCACTTTTCTGCAAGTGGTGGCTCAAGCAGAGCTGGGTGGCCTGGAGCCTGTGCTGCTGCCCGGCTCCTCTGCCTCGGGCGCTGGCAACAGTCTTGCCTGTGAGGGTACCTCTGAGGGCAGGGAGGCCAGGATGGCTCCACTTGCTCCCACCTGTCCTCCTAGAATCTTCTGCCTGCTCCTCAGCCCTCTTCCTTCTCCTTTCCCTTGCTAAGCATGGATCTGGAAGTTGGGGGCCAGGATCATGCTTTCTTCCCCACTCCCACCCCTTAGGCATATGAGAGATGGGGTTCGGACTGGGACTCTTCCTGCCTCTGGTGGAGACTGAGGTTCTCTGAAGGCAGGAACTTCCCCTCTCCCTGCTGGTGGTGTACAAAGGGCCTGAGTACAACGGAGGGAATATGGGCTTAGAAAATCCAGAACATACCTCTTTCTGCAGTTCAGCCACATACTTGGCATCTGAGTTCTTCTGTCCTCTTCTCCCATCCTAAAGAAGACAAACAGCACTCTTGTTGGAATAGGCCTTCTGACTCTGGGGTTTCTGCAAGTTTCCTTGCAGAACCTCTTCACAATCTTGGGGGTCTGGACAAAGGCTATGGGCCAGAAGCATCTGAACTCAGACTGTCCCTCTACAGGGCAGCAGGCCCTGAGGCAAGGAAAGGACCCACACCAGCGCAAAGGGCAATGCCCGTGGAAACCTGACACAAATCATCCGAAGGCCTGGATGGCATTTACTTCTCTGAGGCATGTTTTCATTTAACAGAACTACACCATGTTTCTGCTTTGTGGTAGCCCTGGGGTATGAGTTAAGGATGCAGAGAGGAAGACACGGTGCCTGCACTTGAGAACTTTCATTAAAGGACAGGGGATAGAGAGCTAGTGTTCAGCCACCCATAAACAGTGCCTCCCTGCCAGGCTGCAAGGTGGGGATACCTCACCTAAAAGAGTGCTGGTATGGGGAGTCTTCCTCAAGCCCTTTATACAAAAAAGGGACACTGGCTCCAGGGAAGACCATGGACCCTTAAGCCTGTAAACTCAACACTGTAGAAAGGTCTAAGATATCAAGCTGTGATCAGGCTCCCAGGCTTACCAGGAGCTGACAAGTGCCACACAACCCCCATACACCAGGGATCCTGAGCAGAGCCCCATGAGTCCCGCTCCTGGGCCAGCCTGTGGCACTGGTCTGGGAGTGCACAGATCTAAGTCCCTCAGAAAGCAGGGTCACTAGCCCTGATGCCACCCCAATGTTGGGCCTTCTTCTCATGGGGCAGTCAGGAGGGGCTCTCTGGATTAGTGAAGTGCTGTCAGCCTGCGATATGCAATGAGGAGGGCTGTTTCTGGTGGCTGGGGTTGGGCTCTCTATTGCTGCAGTACAGTAAAATGGGTAAACCTGCTGTGTGGGTGGAGAAGCCGTGTGCTTGCTGATCTCCAGGGACCGTGCCTGGGCCGCATGCATGGCCTCCTTCTTCAGCTTCCTCCGTTCTCGCTCTACCTGCCAAGGTGCAAATAAGAAATCAGGGCTTGGCTTGGCTCTGTGACTGGAGCAGAGCTGCCTTTCTTCAGAGGTGGCCGGTGCCTGTGAGGGTATATGAGGGTATATGAGGGTACAGCTAGGGCAGCCCTGAGTGCAAAGAAGTGCTCCTGGGACAGAAGAGGCAGGGCTTGCCTCTCAGGCCTCTGGAGCAAAGGCCAGCAAACTTTTCCTGTAGTAAGTACTTAGGCTTTGTGGGCCATAGCAGGGAAGCAGTCACAGACAATGCATGGCTGTATTCCAATAAAAGTTGATTTTCAGAATGGGCTGCAGGCTGGATTTGGCCCACAGGCTGTAGTTTACTGAGCTCAAGCTCTAGGGACTGCCTGAGAAGTGGAGATTCATGCCTATTGACCAGAGGAGGGGTCACCTGCTCCAAGGTGCTCCGTAGCTGGACATTGTGGCGCTGCAGCCTGCTCCTGTCAATCTCCAGCCGTGCCACCGCTTGCTGCAGGTGTTCAAGCCTTTGTCTCCATGGCTGCTTCTTCTCTATTCCAGCAGGACTAGGCTCAGCCTCTACTCCTGAGACCTGTGGGAACCCACTTGTGAATCTCACCTGGGAAGCCCCTAAGACAAGCAGGGAACAGACAGAGGGCATACAGACCAGTCTGGCAGGTCTAAGCTTCAGGAACCCAGGTCCCAAGGGAAAGGGACAAACCCCGGGACAGGAGCTCACTGCTGGGCCATCTGTTCCCCCGAGTCCCCAGCTCACCTCTCCCAGCTGCATGCCCTGCTCCCCTCCGGACTCCTGTTCTGCTCTGCTGGTTGCACCTGGGCTGTGTAGCCGCTCCTTCTCCAGAGCCTGTCTGGTGAGCTCCAACTCATCCTAGGGTGCCAAGGAATGGAGTAAAATCACCCCTTGCCAACCTCATATCCAGACCCACCCACCCTCCACAGAAACAGTGGTTCAATGTTCTCCTCAGGCTTTTGTCTTATTTTTCCTAGAGGCTCTGAGTCATTCTAGTACAGAACCTTCATTTCACAGATGGGTAAAACAAAGGAGCAGAGGGGCCTCAACTCTACTCAAGGATATGTGGTGAGCTAGCAAGGGAGCTAGGACCAGAGTCTCCAGTTCACTTCACATCTCCTAGAAGGCTGAGCAATGACTCAGAGCACTGAGTCTTTGACGTTCTGTGGGAAGAGCATGGGCTTTGGAGTCACACAGGGCTGGGTGCCTTGTCACCACTCAGTGGCTATATGACTCTGATTGAAGTATAAGTGCTCCCCAAACCCCAATTTCCTCATTTACAAAATGACTACATGCACCATGAAACAGATAAAGCTCTTGGGTTAAGTCCCTTTGGGTAAGTGGGGAAGCCTCATGCTAGATACTTTCTAGGCGCCCCGTGGTTCATAAATGTTATCGGTCAAGAAGAGAGATGACTGTAATCCCAGCACTTTGGGAGGCTGAGGCGGGTAGATCACGAGGTCAAGAAATCGAGACCATCCTGGTCAACATGGTGAAACCCCGTCTCTACTCAAAATACAAAAAAAAATTAGCTGGGCACGGTGGCACGTGCCTGTAATCCCAGCTACTCAGGAGGCTGAGGCAGGAGAACTGCCTGAACCCAGGAGGCGGAGGTTGCAGTGAGCCGAGATCGCGCCATTGCACTCCAGCCTGGGTAACAAGAGCGAAACTGTCTCAAAAAAAGAAGAGAGATGAACAAGAGTAAAAAAAAAGTGGATGCATGCGGGTTGCCTGGGAGAGAGGAAGAGATTGGTGATACAGTCTGGGCTCTAGAGGCAGATGATTCAGATCTCATTGCAGTCCTGCCATTTATGAGGGTTTTCTTGAGATGGGGTCTTACTCTGTCACCCAGGCTGGAGTACACTGGTGTCATCTTGGCTCACTGCAACTTCCACCTCCCAGGTTCAAGCGGTTCTCCTGCCTCAGCCTCCCGAGTAGCTGGGATTACAGGTACGTACCACACACCTGGCTAATTTCTGTATTTTTAGAAGAGATGGGGCTTTGCTATGTTGCCCAGGCTGGTTTCAAACTCCTGGGCTCAAGTGATCCACCTGCTTCAGCATCCCAGAGTGCTGGGATTATAGGCATGAGCCACTGTGCCTGGCCGTGACTTTCAACCAATCCAAAGAGGGTTTAACCTCTCTGAACTGCCATTCCTCAACTATAAAACGAGGATGGTAACAGTTCCTATTTTTCAGGGTAGTTGTAAAAGACAGAGTTATAGTGCCCTAGCATGTAAAACACTTAGAGTGAAATGGTCCCACGACAAGGGAGGGCTGCATCTGACAGATGCCCCTGTGTGTATGGATATCTGTCAGCAGGTGAAGTGACTCTGACTGGGTTGTTACTGAGTGAATACTGCTTAGTAACCCAAGAGTATGGGTGGAAAGTGCCCTCCTGCCCAATTACATACCTTACTTTTGCTGTGCACCTGAACACAGGAAAGGAGTTCCACTTACCAAGTGCTTTCTTCCTAAGCAGTTCATACATACCCATTGCCTATTTTACCGATGAGAAATTGAAGGTCAGAGGAAAGGCATTCACCCAGGGTCACACAACACTACTGCATTTTAAACCCTGGAACTGGACTCCACAGTTCACAGACTGACCTCCTTCTCCTCATACTGCCCACCAAGAGCAGAGCTTTTTGAGTTCCCAGAAGTTCTCTGGGGGGCTGTGTGTCTGGGGTTCCCTGGGGCTCAGTCAAGGGACCAGGAAATAGAACCGATTTCCCTGGAAAACTGGACTGGGCTTCTCTTGGCAAAAGAGATGATGCCTCTCGCTGTCAAGTCAGCCTGGCTTTCCTGTTGGCCTGCTTGCTGCAGGTCTTGTGCTCAGTGCAGGGGGTACAAAGGTGACTAAGACATGGTGCTTGACCTTGAGGTTAAATATTACACCCTGAAGTTCTCGCCTAAGCTCACTTCCTCTCTCACTCAACACTCTACCTACAAGGAACCCATTTGTTTTAACTGTTGATGACTCCAAAGTGTCTCTGGCTTCAACTCGAAACTTCAGATCACTTTACTGACCTGCCCACTGGACACCTCCCCCTGCCTGTCCCACAGGTTCCTCCCTCCATTTCCAAACTGACCTCATCATTTCATTCCTTTCTCACACCTGCTTCTCATCTTCTTGGTGAGCAGAGACCTGAGTATCATCTTTGACTTCTTTCTGCCCTCTCTTTATTCCTCCCACCTCTTAGCCAATCAACTGCCAGAAGTCCTACCTCTCAGACCCACCCACATCTCCATTCACACTTTCCATCTTAGGGTACGACCTCTCTGCTGGACTTCCAGTTCAGCCTCCCAGTGGGTCTCCCCAGGCCTGCTGTTGCTCCACATGGCAGTCTGAGTGATCCTTCTGAGCTGTATGTCTGATCACATCACTCCCCTGCCGCAAACACTTCACTTGCTTCCTACTAGTTACCCAGGTCCTCCGCATGACCGTAAGCCCTGATGGGTGTGGCCCCTACTGTCTTCCCATCTCTTACCAAATCCTTCCCTCTGTCTCATGCGACCTGAACTGTGTACACAGATAGTACACTTGTTCTCACTCTCTTTTCCTTTTCCCCTGAATGCTCCTCCCCAACCTGTGCCTGGCTAGTTCTTTACTGGTCCCTTCAGGTCTAATCTTTTTTTTTTTTTTTTTGAGATGGAGTTTCGCTGTTGTTACCCAGACTGGAGTGCAATGGCACGATCTCGGCTCACGGCAACCTCCGCCTCCTGGGTTCAAGCAATTCTCCTACCTCAGCCTCCTGAGTAGCTGGGACTACAGGCGCTCACCACCATGCCCAGCTAATTTTTGTATTTTTAGTAGAGACAGGGTTTCACCTTGTTGACCAGTATGGTCTCAATCTCTTGACCTCGTGATCCACCCGCCTCCCAAAGTGCTGGGATTATAGGCGTGAGCCACCACGCCCAGCCCTAATCTTATGTTTTTTTTTTTGAGACAGAGTCTTGTTCTGTTCCCCAGGCTGGAGTGCAGTGGCATGATCTCAGCTCACTGCAACCTCCGCCTCCCGGGTTCAAGCAATTCTCCTGCCTCAGCCTCCCAAGTAGCTGGGATTATAGGCACATGCCAGCATGCCTGGCTACTTTTTGTATTTTTAGTAGAGATGGGGTTTCACCATGCTGGCCAGGCTGGTCTCGAACTCCTGACCTCGTGATTTGCCTGTCTTGGCCTCCCAAAGTGCTGAGATTACAGGTGTGAGCCACTGTGCCTGGCCCAGGTTTAATCTTAAACACTGCTTTTACCAGAAAGCCTGTTGGGACCCACTCCCAGAAAAGGTTGAGCATCCCTCCAGGGGGCAATCTAAACTTCCCCTATTAGGTACCAACCACACTGCATTATCGTAGTTTCCCCATGGGACTGTGGGCTCTTAACCTCTTTGTATTTCCCCAGACTAGCACAGTAGCCTGAATCCCACTGTGTTGAGGTACTCATGATCTCAGCTTTCTCATAATCTTGAGGTATCACAAGGCCCAGAGTGGTGGGCAGTCCCTGAGCTCAGCCAGACCGGGCTGTGTCCCTTGGCCCTTACTGCCCCTGGAGTGACTCACCTGCAGCCTCTGCTGTTCTGAATCTCGCTCCAGGACAGAGGCTTGAAGGAACATGGCTACCTCCTGCAGACTGCTGATGCTGGCCTTGCTCTGCACTAGGGACAGTGCCAAGTCCTGGGCCTTCTCCCTCCACTCAATCTCCCTGGCTTCTGTCTGTCTCAGGGCTGCCTGTAGCTGCTCCAGCTTCCGCTGCAGCCTGGGCTCTAAAGAATAACATTTTGAAGATTGTTCCTCCACTGGGGAGGCTTTGTGGCTGTGGGGTAGGGCTTCCAGGTTGTTCCTTTGCTGGGCCTCCCTCAGCTCCAGGATCTCCTGTTCCTTTTGTGCTAGAGTCAGCTGTAGCTCCCTTAGACTCTGACGAAGCCCCCTTATCTCCTCCTCTTCTCTCTCCTGCCCCAGATTCTGCTTCTCTTGAATCACATTCTCTTGGACCCTCTGGGCCAGAGACTTCTCCAGCAGCTGCCCCTGTTCCTGCTGATGTCTTAACTCTTCATCCCTCTGCGCAAGTGCCTGCTGCAGCTGCTGCACGTCCTCCTGGTATCGGAGTTCCTGGTCCTGGATCTCACCTTCTCGTGTCCTCAGGGCCTCCTCCAGCTGCCGAGCGTGTGCCTGGCAGCTGTCCAGGGCAGCTTGCAGGGTGGCAGTGCTGGCCTCCAGACTGCGGCTCAATTCTACCTGTTCAAGCAGATGCTGCTCTTTCCCCTGCAGGGCAGCGTGAGCCTTGCCAAGAGCCTCCTGCAGAGCCTCAGCCCGGCCCCGGGCAGCTTCCTCCTGATGCCGGGAGGACTGACTTTCTGCCCGCAGAGCCTCCAGCTCCTGGTCCCGTTCCTTGATCACTGCCTGGGCCTGCAGCCAGTTGTCCTGTAGGGCCCTGATCTCCACCTCATGCTCCTGTGCCTGCTCAGCACACTGCTGCTGGAGGGCCAACAGAGCTTTCTCCTGCTCCCGAGACTCAGCCCTTAGGTCTCCCAGCACCTCCTCCAGGGCCTGGACCCGCCGTCCCTCCACTGCCAGCTCTTCCTCAAGCCTTTGTGCCTGTTCCTTGTAGTCCAGAAGCTCTTCCTGATGCTCCTTCAGTGTCATTTGGGCTTGCTCCAGAGCTCCCTGAAGGGCGTCTGCCTTTTCCTTCACACTCTCCTCCTGCCCCTGGGCCTGCTGCTGCTCTTGCTGCAGAGTCTCCAGTTGCTGGTCCCTCTGGCTTACGGCTCTCTGGGCCTCATCCAGTTGACTCTGAAGTGACTGCTCCTTCAGCTCCCCTTGTTCTCTGGCTTCCTGCAGGTGCTGCTGCAGGACCACTATCTCCTGCTCTCGCTGGGACAGGAGGAGACTGGTCTCACCCACCTTCCTGTGCAGGCCCTGGAGCTGCTGCTCTAGCTGGTCCTTGAGCTCCTGAAGTTCATGGATATGCTCCTGCTGGCATTCTACCTCCTTCTCCTTATCACGCAGGATCAGCTTCATGTGCTCTAGGCTCCCACGCTGTGCTTTACTCGGGCCCTTCCCATCCTCTGCCCGTTCCTGCATCACCTGCCTCTGAGAGGCCAGCTCTCGGCCTCGCTCTCTCAAGGACAGCTTGATCTGTTCCAGGTCCTCCTCCAGGATCTTGGTCTGCCGTGTCCTTTGATCCTCGAGAACCTGAATTCTCTCCTTCTGCAGCATCAGCTCCTGGTTTCTCCTCTCGAGATCCTGAGTCAGATGATCTTTCTGCCTCTGCAGCTCCTCGATCTGTTCTCGCTGAGACTTCACCTCTTCGTCCCTCTCCTGCAGCTCTCTTGCCAGAAGGGTGCTGTGGCTCTCCAGGTCATGGATCTGGCTGCTTTGTACCTGCAGCTCCTGGCTCCTTTCTTCCAGGTCCAGCGTAAGGTGGGTCAAAGCCACTCTCTGCGCTTCCCTCTGGCCCTCCAGCTCCTCAATTAGTTTTTGCTGGCACTCCATCTTGTGATGGTTTTCCTCCAGTTCCAGGGCCAGGCATTCCAGAGTAACCAACTGCTTTTTCAGATCCTGAACCTGTCCTCTCTGGGACTCAATCATTTGGTCCTTCTTCTCAAGTTCTAGAAGCTGATGCTCTAAGACATTTCTCTGGGTGTCCCGATCCTTCTCGAGCTCTCTGATCTGCTCCCTTTGCACAGTCAGCTTCTGCTCTCGCTCCTGGACGGCCACGGGCAGGTGCTCTAAAACAGACCTACACTTCTCCAGCTCCTGAATCTGTTCTCGCTGCAGATCTACCTCTTGGTTCCTCTTCTTCAGGTCCAGAGACAGCAATTCCAAAGCAGCCTTCTGCATTTCCCGTTGCTTCTCCAGTTGGTGGATCTGTCCCCGCAGAGTTTCTACCTCCCTTTCTCTTTCGGCTAGGGTCTGGGTCAGGAGAGCCAAATTCTCTTGCAAAGCTTTTCCTTGGGCCACCTTCAGCTCACCCTGCTCTTGCAGAGCCTGGGCTCTCTCACGCTCACTCTCCACCTCCTCATTTTTCAGCTTCAGTGCTGAGCGAGCCGTTCTCAGGTCGTCTTCCAGGACGCCAGCAGCACTTGCCTGAGCCCTGGCTTCTGCAATAGCTGCTTGCAGGTGTTCCACCTGGGCTGTCAGGTTCTCTTTGGCTGCCTGAAGTAACTCTTGCTCACCCTGGACGACAAGATGAAAAACCACTTTAGAACTGCCCGGGTGCGATGGCTCAGGCCTATAATCCCAGCACTTTGGGAGGCTGAGGCGGGTGGATCACAAGGTCAAGAGATCGAAACCATCCTGGTCAACAAGGTAAAACACCGTCTCTACTAAAAATACAAAAAATTAGCTGGGCATGGTGGTGTGCGCCTGTAGTCACAGCTACTTGGGTGGCTGAGGCAGGAGAATTGCTTGAACCCAGGAGGCGGAGGTTGCAGTGAGCTGAGATCGCACCATTGCACTCCAGTCTGGGTAACAAGAGTGAAACTCTGTCTCAAAAAAAAAACCAAAAAAAAAAACAAACCACTTTAGACTATACTTCCCTGCTACTGTCACTCCAACACTGGCCCTTCTCTTTCTTATTTTGTGGTACTAGCAGTGACAAGGACTTGGGCAAAAAAGTGGTGGTATATTCCACTTAAGCTGATACCGTAAAAGAGCATTGCTGCCACCTCCTAGGACTCTGCTATGCCCAGGGCAGACTGGTCCTTCAGGACAAGGGGCAAAAACATCAACCTCAATTCAGAAAAAGCAATTGAAAGAAGATTCACTGGAATCTTACTGATGGCCCCCAGGGACATGGAGACAGCCAGAGGAGCTGACAGACTTGCTGAAGGAAGTGGGACACGTGACCACAGGCCAAGGTGGGTCCAAGGGACTACTCCTGATGCATTCCCCACACTGCACCAAAACCAGTGCCACTTTACCTGGGCTTCCATTCTCTGTAGCTCTGCTCTCCGCAGGCGACTCTGTAAGGATGCCACAGTTTCATGCAGTTCCATCAGCTCAGATTCTAGGGAGTTCTGCTTTCCTTCCCACTTGGATTTCTCTTTAAGGAGAGGAGAGGTAGTTGAGTAAGACCCATGGTTGGGGTGGGGGAAAAGAGGGATATAGAGGCAGATGGAGGATGGGGAACAGATTCAAAGAAGGCGGCGGCCAAGAAGGAGAGAATTACATCCAGTGTCCTAGAGACATCAACCATCTGCCAGCTGCTTTTATTTGCCTGGCAGCACTCCCTGCTGCTGCCAGCCCCAGCACTGCCTGGTAGTCATCCTAATACGTCTTCATCCTCATTACCAAGAGCCTCAGCCCTCAATTCCAGACAGGGTTGAGACAGATGACACTGGAGGTCCCTTCTAGCCCCCAATCCTATCATTGTGCAGGAGCTCCTAGAGACATGGCTGGTTCTGCTGCTGCCCCTGATTTCTGCAGCAGGTGCTGGAATCCCACTCTATGTTCGTGGCTCTCAGGGAACCCTCAAATGGCCTCAAAATAGGCCCAAGCTATCCTCTTCTCTTTTTTTTTTTCTTTTTCTGAGATGAAGACTTGCTGTTGTCGCCCAGCCTGGAATGCAGTGGCACAATCTTGGCTCACTGCAGCCTCTACCTCCCGGGTTCAAGTGATTCTCCTGCCTCAGCCTCCCGAGTAGTTGGGACCACAGGCGTCTACCACCACATCCGGCTAACTCTTCTAAGTAGAAACCTGAGCTTCAAGACCCTTCCTCTCCTCTCCTTTGAAGGAGCCATGACCCTTTCCAGTCCTTGGCTGGTGCATAGGTACGTCCTCCCCAGAACTCCTCTCCTTGCTTTCTCCCAAATAAATTCATAATCCCTCAGCTACCAAAGGCTAACTTGGAGGACATACTTGAAGATGATAAAAGTAAGTAACGTAGATGATAAAAGATGCCATTTTATGTGTTTACAGTCCTGGCCCTGGGTCTCCAATTTTTTTTAATTTTTAAAATTTATTTATTTATTTTTTAAGACGGGGTTTCACCATGTTGTCAGGCTGGTCTTGAACTCCCGAACTCAGGTGATCCACCCGCCTTGGCCTCCAAAGTGCTTGGATTATAGGTGTGAGCCACCACGCCCAGCCAATTTTTTTTTTTTTTAATTTTTAAATCTGCTGCAGAGACAGAAAGTGGAAGCCCAGCCATTTCCTTTTTTCAGTTCACCAAATCTGTTCCTCCTAATCTTTTCTTCCAGGATGGGCCTCAAAAGCCAAGCAAAGCAGAAAAAATAGTTCAAGGAGGTCATTACCCCTTTGGAAGTGCCTCTAGATTTCATCTCACAGTTCTGGGTAAATAACAGAATGCAGCTAGGCATGGTGGCTCAAAACGCCTGTAATCCCAGCACACTGGGAGGTTGAGGCAGGCGGTTCATTTGAAGCCAGAGCTTCAACAGCAGCTTGGTCAACATGGCGAAACCTCATCTTTACTAAAAATACAAAAAAATTAGCCAGGCGTGGTGCTGGCTATAATGCTAGCTACTTGGAAGGTGGAGGCTGCAGTGAGCCAACATCGTGACACTGCACTCCTGCCTGGGTGACAGAGTAAGATTCCATCTCAAAAACAAAATAAAAAAAATAGGTGGCTGCTAGGCCTGTTCCTGCCACTTCTGGGCTCCTCACCTATCTTCCCTCTCCCTCTAAATTTCCCCACCTGTCTTGAGCTTCTCACCTTCCTGATTCTGGGAAAGCTGTCTTTGCAGATCCTGCAACTCTGTGTGGGCCTGGCTCTTCTCAGCCTCAGTATCAGTTAGACGTTCTTCCAGTTTCCGGACCTGATCCCTCAGATCATCCTGGGAAAGGAAGGACATGGCTAAATATGAGTTCCTCATCTTCCACAAGCACTGCAGGGCTCAAGCTCTCTCCTCATTCTCAGCCTCTGTGGTGGGCCGCCATTGTGGATCTACTCCCAGAGAGCTGGATTACTTCCTCTGAACGCACGTGCATTTAGCACCCTGAAGTGCCTACAGGGTCTGCTCCACTTGGATGGAACAAGAATCTCCTTCTGACCTATGTCTTTTGAAAGAGAGCTGCTCAAAGTTAGCCCAGGGGTCACCTCTTTTCTCCTGACACTCCTACTTCAAAGTTAGTTAGCCCAGGGGTCACCTCTTTTCTCCTGACACTCCTACTTCAAAGCTTAGCCCAAAGGCCATATCTTCTTTCCTTCTGACCCTTCCCAAATCAGAATGAACTGCCCCTTCCTCCTAGTTCCAAAAGTACATCACTTGCGTTTGTTACTGACCCAATTAATTCTATCAGTTCTGCTTTCTAGCAGAATGCAGTTTTGCTCCTCCACCGTGTCACAAAACTCCTTTAGGCAGAGATCAGGTCTTTACCCCTTTTGCATCCTCAGCTCAGAGTGGCTGTGCTGACATGTGGGTAGAACTCAATTTGTACTGATAGGTTCACTGTGAGGTGGAATTTATGACATCTTCATTTCAGAGCATTCTTAGGCCTAGAATGCTCCTATAAATGCCAACCTCAAATAGTGGTCACTGATTTCTAGGGTTTCTCTTGGAAGCCTGGATACCAAGAATAAATTCATGGCTGAGTGAAAAATGATGCAAAACAATGCCACACATCTGCCACACATTTTTTTTGAGACGGAGTTTTATTCTTGTTGCCCAGCCTGGAGTGCAGTGGTGCGATCTCGGGTCCCTGCAACCTCTGCCTCCTGGGTTCAAGAGATTCTCCTGACTTGGCCTCCTGAGTAGCTGGTATTATAGGCACCCACCACCATGCCTAGCTAATTTTTGTATTTTTAGTAGAGATGAGGTTTCACTATATTGGCCAGGCTGGTTTTAAACTCCTGATCTCAGGTGATCCGCTTGTCCTGGCCTCCCAAAGTGCTGGGATTACAGACCTGAGCCATGGCACCTGGTCTGCCCAGGGTTTCATAGTTTACAAGGCTCATTCAAGATCCTCACTCATCTGGTCCTCACAACTCTGAGCAGGCGCCGTCTGCCCTAATATGCAGGGGAAAACAAGGCCCAGGAACTCCAAACACTCTATTTGGGGTTGCCAGGTGGTAAGTGATAGAGGTGAAACTCGTCCCAACTTGATCTCAGGAATAAAACAGGTCAAACTGCTTCATGCATCTTTGCCTCATGTCCTTTGAGGGAGGTAAAGAGTTCAGGAAAGGGGAGCAGAGAAACATACCCGAGTCTGTTGAGTCTTCCACAGATCTTGATGAAGCTTATGGAGGGCAGATGCTACTGCCTCAGTGGAGAGAGCAGTCAGCAGGGAACCTCTCTTAAAGAGGCTTCTAGCTCCATTCTGGTCTGAAAAAATGAGAAAAACTTCAGCTGCCACTATGAAAAGAAACAGCCAGACCTTCCCAGACACAGCCTTGGCATTCCCACTGTTTCCTCCACTCCGCAAAAGAACCCCTTCTCAGCAGTTCACTCACAGTATGGGACAGGCACTATGGTGGGTGCTGGGTAAGGCCAGCTCTCGCTTGTGGCGCACTTAGTTAAGTGCCAGGAACTGTGTGAGCTATTCACATCTGCAATCTCCTAACTCCTTGGTGAAATTATAAGGTAAGTACTTTTAACGGCCTCATTTTGTAGTTAAGGAAAATCAAACTCAGAGAGGATAGGTGACTTGCCGAAGGACACATGGCTAGCAAACAGTAGAGCTGGGGTTCAAACTCAGAATTCCCCAGTATGCAGTCTTAACCCTAAAGCAATATGGCTTAAGGAATAGCATTCCTCTCCTTTTCTGGTGGGAATGGCCTGGGTTTGGCCCAAAGGACCTAGTTCTGGGGTGGCTGTCTCACCTGGCTCAAGGCCCCAGAGGGAGGGAGCAGAGTCTCCCCCACCACTCAGCTCAGGCCTGCTCTCACAAACAGACCCCAGGCCCTGCTGCAGGACAGAGTAGAGGCTGGCCAGCTGGGCCTGGGCCTGGTTCCCAGGCTGCTGCTCTGCGGCCACTGCCTCCAGCTGGCTTTCTGTGCTGCGCAGTCGCAGCTGTAGTTGGGCTGCCTTGGCTTCCTGGGCCCACAAGGAAGCTCGTAGCTGCTGCTCCATGATACGAGACGCCTCCAGCTCCTCCAGCAGCTGTGCTTCCTGGGCCAGAAAGTCAGCCTCCTTTTCCTTCACCTCTTGCCTCAGTAATTCCATCTGCCAAGGAAGAATTGTACATACTCTAAGCAGGAAGTGGACACCCTCTCCTCAGGCTCTCCCAGGCGAGACCCCACTCAATCCCTGTACAAACTCTGATCAGGGCTGGGAGGATTTCAGCTCAGCTCTCAGGCAGGTAGAGGGACTCTGAAATGAGTGTTACCCTAGAGATCTAACACCTGCTGACTACTGAACACATGGGCCCAGGCTGCTATGCTAATGGGCTTCAGCCCTGGCTTCTTGGGCAGATATGCTGGCTCCCTGCTATGATCAGAACTCTGGCCTGAAACCCTGATGCTGCACCTAGTAAGAGCAGTCACAATAACATAGCTACTATGTATTGAATGCTTATTGTGCTCCTGACATTTTTATATTTCTATAATGGTTACAGGAATTAAGAACAAGAATTATCACCCTTGTTTTATGGATGAAGAAGCTGACGTTCACATAACTAGAAAGTGGTACAGCTTGCATTCAAACTTAAGACTGTTGAACAGCCAAACCTGTGTGCCCTTAACCCCTGCAATCCACCATCTAGTTCTTATATCCCATTCTTCCCCTCCTAGTTCCATCTCTCCTCTGTATACAAGGTCTGGGGTCCTGATGTGGGCAGACTGAGTCCCTGGAAGTCTTGCTGCTGCCTGCCTGATCTGGAGTGTTACTGGTTGCTAATTCCCCCCTGCTGCATCTTGCCAACCAGATCCAGCACACTTGAAAGTGGCTGTGCTGGAATCAGGCCTGCGTGGGTTCCACCCCTGTGTGTACTTTGCTCTGGGCTGTCAGGTTTCCCACAGGAGCCATGCCCACCTCTGGGTCAGGTTCCGAAGCCCCCACCTTGTCTAGTCCTGGCTTCCCCCTCCTGCGGGGCTGTTGAGGCACCTGCCTATTCTATAATTAGGAAAAATAGATGGGTCCTCTCCATGAGAGGACTCAGAGCAATCAATCTACTACTCCAGGATCAGGCTTCTGCCAGGGATGCAGGGCTCATAACCAGAGTAGGAAGTACCTGGGCATTGAGCTCTCTCTGTCCTCCCTGGGCCTCCTGCATGTCCTGGCGCAGGGCGCTCAGCTCCTGTTGTCGAATAGAGTCAGCTTCTTGTAAAACAAGGAGTCTCTGTTCCTTTTCCATCAGTGACAGAGTCAGGCTAAAAAGAGAGGGGTCAGAGTGTTGGGCCATTCTCTTAGGAAATGAAAAACTACCTCCCGTCTGAGTATTCTTAACATAGCATTAAAAATCAAAATAGAAATAGTAATTATTATATAACAATAAGAGCTATCATTTATTACTTTAATAAGTGCTCCTAGGTACTTCCCATTTCGACCCCACAGGGTTTGTTTTTTTTTTTTTTGGAAAGAGTTTTGCTCTGTTATCCAGTCTGGGGTGCAATGGCACACACTCCTTAGTAGCTGGGATTGCAGGCACGTACCACCATGCTTGGCTATCAACCTCACAGTTTATTCTCTGGCAAATTTCACATATACCTTATATTAGTACCTCCCATTCAATCAACATGTCCAGATCTTCCCAGTCCCTCTTCTCTCCTCCCCTGCCCCTTCTTCTCTTCCCTTGCCCACCCAATCATCTCCTATTATGTTCCCTAGCTCAGTGAATGGCACTTCCATCTACACAGGTCCCAATGTAGAACCTTGACCACTCCAGAGTTCCCCCTTTGTCCTACCTATATCCAATCTATGATTATATACAATTGAATCTAATTCCCTTAACATCCTTTAAACCTCTTCTCTTCTCTCCCCTTCCCCACTACCCTACCTTGGTTTAGCTTTAGGATCTCAAATCAGGACAACTCTTACCAGCCTAACTTGTCTTCCTGCCTCTAGTTGCATCACCAAAATGATATTTCCCTTCTGAAACTCCTATTTTTTTTTTTTTCTTTTGAGATGGAGTCTCACTCTGTCACCCAGGCTGGAGTGCAGTGGCATGATCTTGGCTCACTGCAACTTCCGCCTCCTGGTTCAAGCGATTCTCCTGCCTCAGCCTCTCGAGTAGCTGGCATTACAGGCACCCACCACCATGCCCAGCAATTCTTTTTGTATTTTTAGTAGAGACGGGGTTTCACCATGTTAGCCAGGATGGTTTTGAACTCCTGATCTCAAGTGATCTGCCTGCCTTGGCCTCCCAAAAGTGCTAGGATTACACTGCGCCCAGCCCCATCCCCTTCTCAGACTCCTGCAGCACTAAAAATACAAGCTGCTCTTCACTCTGAATGGTCTTCTGTCATACCTGATATCTCATGTCATTGCACCCTTCAAAGAATCATAAGTTGTATTATATCAATCTCCCTGCTTAAAATTATCCAGATGTTTCCTATGAAACTCAGACTATGAACTCTTTGCTGTGACCTACCAAATCCTGAGTGCTGTGGACCTGCCCAGCTCATGCCACTCTCCTCATTCACCAGGCTCCAATCATGCCACACTCTTTCAGTTCCACCAAACACTGTAAGCTTTTACCTGCCTCATGGCCTTTGCACATGATTTCTACTCTTTCAGAATGGAACTCCCCCTCACCCTTTCACATGGGTAGCTTCACTTCATGCTTAGTGTTGTTTTGTGGAAGAAAAATAAAATAAGTAATAATAAAGTTTAAAATAATAAGCATAACATAGGTGATAGTTAACATTCAGTAAAGGTCATTTAGAAGTTATACAGAGGCTAAGGAATTTAAACAGCCTCTCCCAGCATAGCTAACAAGTTGCAGCTGCAAGCTTATCTCAACTTTCCAAGCTTATCACCTGCCTCCAAACACTGCGCCCACCGCCCCCCATACCTCTGTAATTCCTGTCTAACAGCAAGGTTGACTGGTCAAAATAACTAAATTGTAAGTTCTCTCAAAATTGTCACAAGTTAAATAATTTACTGTCTTTGTCTAAAACCTGCATCCTGTCTTGTTTTTCCGCCTCAAACTGCATATAAGCAAAACTGCCTTCTTTGTGGTGGTCGGCGGCCATTTAAGGCGTGAGTGTGCTGCCAGCCCGGGTGCCTGAATTAAAGTTCTCTTTGGTCTCCATTGGTCTCTTTGTCTTCTTTGGCTGGGGTTTTACTGCAACGGTTTAAATGCACCCTCCTGAGAAAAGCCTTCCTTAACAATGGTTCTAAAGTAGGTCTCTTCTCTCTCACCCTGTTTCCTCGATGTGTCATAATCTGTAATAATTTGAGTTATTATTTAATGTCTTCTCGAGAAAACTGCAAATTCTATTCGGGCAGGGACCATACAGTCTTCTTTATCACTGTATCCCCAAGCATGGTGCCTGGTGCATGATGGGTGTTTTTGAAATATTTACTAAATGAATGAAGTGCAAGCTTTGAGGACAGGAATCATGCCCTCTCCACATGGCTACATGTACATCCCAGAGCTGCAGACATGAAAGGCAAGATGGCCTGAGCAGACAACTGTCAGTATCATAGTGACCATACAGCCAGATAGGCAAAAGCCACCTCCATGGCCTACCTAGCCTACCTGGCTTTCTCTCTCTCCAGCTCCTTCTGAATTCGGTTATACTCCTGGGTCTCTCTCAGCTTCTCCTGAACTTCCTGCTCCACTAGCCTCTGGGAGTCATCCTGGGCCACCAGCTGAGACTTCAAGTCCTCCACCTGGAAATTTAAGGGCATGAAGACCAAGATGGCAGGGCAGGGGGCCAGTGGGAAAATGCTCCTCACCTAGGGCTTCAGGGTCCTTCAAGGTTTACCATAGTCAGCGGCCATTTCCAATGCTCTGGTGGTTCCCCCAACCCCTACACACTGTTCTTAACCACCCACTTCCTCAATACAGTTCGGCCTGGGCCTCCCAGCCTCACATATGCTGCGTAGAGGCATGCATAAATAAAAATCTTGGCTGGAGGCTGGACATAGTGGCTCACACCTGTAATCCCAGCACTTTGGGAGGCCAAAGTGGGAGGATCACGAGGTCAGGAGTTAGAGACCAGCCTGGCCAGCATGGTGAAACCCCATCTCTACTAAAAATACAATAAATTAGCCGGGCATGGTGGTGCGCACCTGTAATCCCAGCTACTTGGGAGGGTGAGGCAGGAGAATTGCTTGAACCTGGGAGGCGGAGGTTGCAGTGTGCCAAGATTGCGCCACTGCACTCCAGCCTGGGTGACAGAGTAAAACTCAGTCTTAAAAAAAATATATTTTTTTGACTGGGCTGGGTGCAGTGGCTCATGCCTGTAATCTCAACACTTTGGGAGGCCAAGGTAGGCAGACTGCTTGAGATCAGCCTGGGCAACAAAGTGAGACCCTGTCTTTATAAAAATTAAAAAGTTAGCCAGGTGTGACGGCACGTCTGTAGTCACAGCTACTCAGGGGGCTGAAGAGGGAGAATCGCTTGAGTTGGGAAGTCGAGACCGAAGTAAGCTGTGATCTGCAGCACTTCAGCCTGGGTGAAATAGTCAGACTCTGTCTCCCCCACCAAAAAAAACAAAAACAAAAACAAAACAAAACAAAACAGGCTGACTATAACTATGATCAAAGGCAAAAAAATGTATTGTGATTGCTTTTTTAAAAATGAAAAGAACATCATTTTGCAACCTAGTATGTAAAAATATTAGATTTATAGCAAGGTCAGAAAGAACAACTGAAGCTGAGACTGCTGGGGAAAACAGAAGCTCTGCGACCATTACAGAGAAAGAGGTTACTATCCCAGGGCTCTGAGAGGCACATGCTCAACTCTGAGCACCCTCTAATTTTCCAGTCCATACCATGGCCCACCCATCTACCTCCCAAATCAGGCAGCAGGGCCAAGGTTCTCCCTGTCCTTCAGGAGGAAGTGGGAAAGCCTGGCTATGTTGGGGAAGGACCATGGGACTGGGTGGGGAGGTGGAGGAGACCTGTTTCTGCAGGTCCATTTTATCCTGCAGCAGGGCGCTGCTCTCTTCCTGGAGGGCAGCAAGGTCATCTCTGTGCTGCTGGACTGCCTCCTTCAGCTCCCGCTGAACCTCCTGGAGCTGGGTCTGTAGCATCCCAGTGGTTTCCTGCACAGGGATAAGACATCAGTGAATAAAGGAACTGTGTTGTATAAATACTTTTTTTTTTCGGAGGGGTGGCAAAAGCTGAGGCAGGAGCCAGCAATTCACATTGTTTTCACCCCAACTTCTCACTTCCTAGTCCCTCTTCTCCCTCACAAAGTGTACTCGGTCACCCAGATTTCTTGGTCAGGGTCCATGGGTTGGTTATAGTCTCTCACCCAGACCACAGCAACAATCTCCTAACCATATCCCTACTTACACTTGATGCCACGATCCCCTAAAAACACACACACTATTCTCTACTCAGCAGCTAAAGTATTTAAAAATACATATATGTATATGTATGTGTGTATGTATATAAAAATAAATCATATCCTACTCCTGGTTTTAAAACACCACCCAACTGGCCAGGCGCAGTGGCTCATACCTGTAATCCCAGAACTTGGGGAGATTGAAGTGGGTGGATCACTTGAGGTCAGGAGTTCATGATCAGCCTGGCCAACATGGTGAAACCCTTTCCTACTAAAAATACAAAAATTAGCCAGGCATGGTGGCAGGCACCTGTAATCCCAGCTAATTGGGAGGCTGAGGCACAGGAACTGCTTGAACCTGGAAGGTGGAGGTTGCAGTGAGCTGAAATGGCACCGCTGCACTCCATCCTGGGTGATAGAGACTCAGTCTCACACACATACCTACATACATACCATACGTACCACCCAACAGTTTCCCATTGCCCTTAGAACAAAATCCAAGCTCCTACAACGGCTGACAAAGGGCTTCTGGCTACAGCTTCACTCCCCCTGAGTTTAACAAGCTGGAGCCACACTGCCTCTTTTTTGTCCTTGAACTTCCCAAGCCCTTTTCTGTGTCAGGGCCCTTGCAACAGTTGTTTCCTCTGCCTAAAGTGTTCTTCAAATGGTAGGCATTTCTTTCTTTTTTCAAATGGCTTTAGATATAATTCGCATACCATAAAATCCACTCATTTAAAGTATATAAGGTTTTAGGATATTCACAAAGTTGTGCAACTATTGTCGCATTCAATTTTAGAACATTTCCATCAATCCCAAAATAAACCCCACACCCATTCAGTCACTCCCCATTCCCCACCCCACTCCCCACTGTAAATCTGCTTTCTGCCTCTATAGCATTGCCTATTCTTGGTGTTTCATATAAATGGAATCAAATCACGTATAATATATGGCCTCTTGTGACTGGCTATTCCACTTAGCCAGATGTTTTCAAGGTTCACCTATGTTGTATCATGGAGCTGGTTTCTTTTTTAACCAAGTTTCAGCTCAAATGCTACTTTCTCAGTGAGGCCTTCCCTGACACTAAGTTCAAAGTGAGTTCCTTTTCTCAGTGTATCACTCTGTTTCCTTTATCGCACTTATTAGAAACTCTAATCATCTCATTTACTTTGCGTTTGCTCATTTGTCATCCAACCCTGCCACAGGAATGTAAGTCCCTTGAAGGCAGGGGCAATGTGTGCCATGCTGACTGCTGTGCCACACCTTTTTTTTTAATTTTTTTTTTAAAGTCAGAGTTTTGCTCTTGTTGCCCAGGATGGAGTGCAATGGTGTGATTTTGGCTCACTGCAACCTCCGCCTCCTGGGTTCCAGTGATTCTCCTGCCTCAGCCTCCCAAGTAGCTGGGATTACAGGCATGCACCACCACATCCAGCTAATTTTTTTTTTGTATTTTTAGTAGAGACAGGATTTCTTCATGTTTGTCAGGCTGGTCTTGAACTCCTGACTTCAGGTGATCTGCCCACCTGGGCCTCCTGAAGTGCTGGGATTATAGGCACCAGCCACCATACCTGGTTAATTTTTGTATTTTTAGTAGAGATGGGGTTTCACCATCTCTAGTTTCACCAGGCTGGTCTTGAACTCCTGATCTTAGGTGATCCACCTGCCTTAGCCTCTCAAAGTGCTGGGATTACAGGTGCGACCTACTGTACCTAGCCTGTGCCATACCTTTATGTACTTGTCATGTGTCAGCACCTAGCACAGGGCCTGGCACATAAGAAGTGCCCAAGAACTCTTCATGGTTGAATGGGTAAATGAGTGCCCCTTTCTCCCCTACTCCCGAGGCCACCCTGCATACCTGCTCCTTTAACTTCTGGACCTTCATGTCCTGCCTCAGCCGTTCCAGTTGTTGGCTGGCATCTGCCAGCTCCTTCTGGGTCTGCAGCAGTGTCTCCAGAAGGGACATTCTCTCCTTCTCTGTTTCCAGCTGCATCTGTGGAGGGGTAGAGGGGTAAGGACTTGTGGGCTCAGGGTTACCATGCTCACCAATAAGGCCACAAGCACATTCCAGCTGCTCTAGGGCTCTTCTACCAAATGAATGGGGGCTGAGGGCAAAGGAAGGTCTGAGCCCATGGGTTCAGAACAAGGAAGTGCAAAGATTACCACTGGTTTACAAGCTGACAGGATGTGGTATATGTCAGCCCTCCCTCAGGAAATGTGACATATTGCCGGAACTGCAGCTAATGGGGAAGACCACCCTGCTCACTGGTAGCAAAGTGGGTAGCTATGATCTCTTCTGGAAGCTCTTCTGCAGCACTATTCTTGAGAGTGGAAAAGGAAGTGGTCAAAGGTAAGGAGATCACTGATTGGACAGGCAGCTCCCACCTGGCATAGGGCACTCTCTGCCTGTGTCCGTTCTTCTTCTCTCTGGGCCCGGATGGCTTCCGTTTCTGTCTGCTGCTCCTTCAGCCTCATTTCCAGCTCCATTTTTTCCCTCTCTAAGCTCTCCAGGGACTTTGCCAGCTCCTGCTGGTGCCAGGAGCGCTCCTTCTCCTGGCCACATGAAAGAAACACCATTAGAACCAAATGGGTGAGGAGGGGAGGCAGGAGAATTGACTGGAGTAATAAGTCTCTATATTAGTCCCTAACTGGGTTACCTTGATACTTCTCTAAGCCTGTTTCTTCACCTGTAAAGTGACACTAATAATCCCTGCTTTATCTATCTTATCAATTTTTATGATAAGCAAATTAGATTAATTTTAAAAAATCAAATGATATATGTGAAAATACCTTCCAAACTACAATTGTCCCTTATATATGCTACAGATATCTGGGTTTTAATGTGTTTTTCCTTTTTTTTTTTTTAACACAATTCTACCTCCTGCAAGCTGAATAATGGCTTTTCTAAACATGCAAACTTAGAAGTTTTGTCTCCTACGAACCCTTTTTTTCTTTTTTTTAAGATGGAGTTTTGCTCTTGTTGTCCAGGCTGGAATGCAATGGCACGATCTGAGCTCACTGCAACCTCCCACTCCTGGGTTCAAACGATTCTCCTGCCTTAGTCTCCTGAGTAGCTGGGACGACAGGCACGCACCACCACACCCAGTTAATCTTTGTATTTTTAGTAGAGATAGGGTTTTACCATGTTCGCCAGGCTGGTCTCAATCTCCTGACCTGGTGATCTGCCTGTCTCAGCCTCCCAACATGCAGGGATTATAGGTGTGAGCCACCATGTCCAGCATTATTATTATTTTTTTTTTGGAGATGGAGTCTTGCTCTGTCACCCAGTGGTGTGATCTCCACTCATTGCAACCTCTGCTCCTGAGTAATTGGGACTACAGGTGCCCCTCACTATGCCCGGCTAATTTTTATGTTTTTAGTAGAAATGGGGTTTCACCATGTTGGCCAGGTTGGTAATGAACTCCTGACCTCAAGTGATACACCTGCCTCGGCTTCCCAAAGTGCCTGGGATTACAGACATGAGCCACCATGCCTGGATTGCCATTTTATTTTTAGAGATGGGGTCTCACTATGTTGGCCAGGCTGGACTTGAACTCCTAGGCTCAAGTGATCCTCCTGCCTCAGCTTCCTGAGTAGCTGAGACCATAGGGGCCACCACACACAGCTCTGTATCTGTTGTCTTTTATTTTTATTTTTTTGAGACGAGTCTCATACTCTTGCCTGGGCTGGAGTGCAGTGGCACAATCTCAGCCCACTGCAACCTTCACTCCCTGGGTTCAAGTGATTGTCCTGTCTCAGCCTCCTGAGTTGCTGGGATAACAGGTGCATATCACCACACCGGGCTAATTTTTTGTATTTTTAGTAGAGACAGGGTTTCACTATGTTGGCCAGACTGGTCTTGAACTTATGACCTCGTGACCCATCCACCTCAGCCTCCCAAACTGCTAGAATTACAGGCATGAGCCACCATGCCTGGCCTGGTATTTTTATTTTCAGAGATGGGGCCTCACTATGTTGGCCAGACTGGACTTGAACTCTTGGGCTCAAGTGATCCTCCTGCCTCAGCCTCCTGAGTAGCTGGGATTACAGGCAGGTGCCACCATGCCCAGCTAATGTTTGTATTTTTAGTAGAGATGGGGTTTCACCATGTTGGTCAGGCTGGTCTAGAACTCCTGACCTTGTGATCCACCCGCCTCAGCCTCCCAAAGTGCTGGGATTACAGGTGGGGAGGCGGAGGTTGCAGTGAGCTGAGATCACGCCACTGCACTCCAGCCTGGGCGACAGAGTGAGACTCTGTCTCAAAAAAAAAAAAAAATTTTCTAAACATCTCTGTGCCTCAGTTTCTTTATCTGTTAAAATGGGGATAGCAACAGTATCATTCTCTTCAGGTTGTATTGAGGATGGATATAAGCCATGTGAATCACTTTAAATGTGCTTAGCACACAGAAAGTGGGCCATACATAACAGCTAACATCATCATCACATTAGCATACACTATACTTTTCCTTTAAAATGCCTGCAAACTTGTAGTTGCTTATTCATACAATGGGAATATCTCTGTTTCGGCTTTCCTAGTGTCATCTCTGCAGCTTTCCCCCTCATTTACTACACCCCGGCTACACACACTTGCCTCTTTGCAGGTCCTTGAGCACACTAAACACTTTCTTTGTGTTTTGAGATGGACTCTCGCTCTGTTGCCCAGGCTGGAGTGCAATGGCGCAATCTCAGCTCAATGCAACCTCTGCCTCATGGGTTCTAGCCAGCCTCCCAAGTAGGTGGGATTATAGGCACCTGCCACCACGCCTGGCTATTTTTTTTTGTATTTTTAGTAGAGATAGGGTTTCACCATGTTGGCCAGGCTGATTTTGAACTCCTGACCTCAAGTGATCCACCTGCCTCAGCCTCCCAACGTGCTAAGATTACAGGTGTGGGCCACCATGCCCGGCAAACATGTTCGTAACTTAAAGCCTTTACTCATGTTTCCTTCTACCTGGAAATCCCTTCTCCACCCCTATTCCATCATTCCTCACACCTAAACTGACACTTCCTTGGTGAAGCCTTCCCAGACAATACAATTGACAGTAGTCTGGCTGTCAACTGTATTGTCTGGGAAGGCTTCACCAACATGGTGGTTCACACATATTAGCTCATCACTTTGCAAGGCTGAGGTAGGCTGATCACTTGAGCCCAAGAATTTGAGACAAGCCTGGGAAACATGATGAAACCTCTTATCTACAAAAAATGCAAAAATCAGTCAAGTGTGGTAGTTCGTTGTTATGGTCCCAGCTACTTAGAAGACTGAGGTAAGAGGATCACTTGAGCCCAGGAGGGCAAGGCTGCAGTGAGCCCTGATCATGCCACCCCACTCCAGCCTGGGCAATGGAGCGAGACCCTGTCGCAAAAGAAATAATAAAAAGAAAAAGAGAGGTCTTCCTTTGTTCTTTACAAAACCCAGCAATGTGTAATGTCCCAGTTATAGGATAGTCTTTTAAACCCTCTGGTTCAAAAAGCCAAAGCCAACTGTGAAAACATAAAAAGGATGAATTTTATTTATTTATTTATTTATTTTGAGACAGAATTTCATACTTGTTGCCCAGGCTGGAGTGCAATGGTGCAATCTCGGCTCACCACACCACAACCCCTGCCTCCAGGTTTAAGAGATTCTCCTGCCTCAGCCTCCTGAGTAGCTGGGATTACAGGCATGTGCCACCACGCCTGGCTAATTTTTGTATTTTTAGTAGAGATGGGGTTTCTCCATGTTGGTCAGGCTGGTCTCAAACTCTCAACCTCAGGTGATTCACCCACCTTGGCCCCCCAAAGTGCTAGGATTACAGGTTGAAAACAATAATGTGCCAGGCGTGATGGTTCATGCCTGTAATCCCAGCACTTTGGAAGGCTGAGGTGGGCGGATCACCTGAGGGAGTTTGAGACCGGCCTAAGGAACAGGGAGAAACCCTATCTCTACTAAAAATACAAAATTAGCTAAGCGTGGTAGTGCATGCCTGTAATCCCATCTACTCGGGAGGTTGAGGCAGGAGAATGGCTTGAACCTGGGGGGCGGAGGTTGCTGTGAGCCGAGATTGCCCCACTGCACTCCAGCCTGGGCAACAAGAGCAAAATTCCATCTCAAAAAAAAACCCAAAAAACAAAAAACAATAATGTTTTGTAACATGTGAAAATTATATGGACTTCACATTTCAGTATCCATACACAAAGTTTTATTTAAGCACAGTTATGCTTCTTTGTTTATACATGGCTGCTTTTGCACTACAACTGCAAAGTTAAGTAATTGTGACAGAGACCATATGGTCTGCAAAACCTAGCATATAGTCCTTAACAAAAAGCCAAACATGGTAGACCGTGCCTGTGGTCCTAGCTACTGAGGAGGCTGAGGCAGGAGGCTCCTTTGAGCCCAGGAGTTCAAGACCAGCTTGGAAAACATAGCGATATTCCATCTCTAAAAGGAAAAACAATTGCCTATCCCTGGGCTATAGTGACCTCGGCTTAAGGGGGAAAAAGCAAAAAGAAGGAAGAGATGGGGAGGAAGGGAAACAGAGAAAGTGGAGGGATGTGGAGAGGAGACAAAACAAAATAAACTCTACAGAAGGAAATTATCAAGGAAATGTGCGTATCTCAACTTTAATACAGGATAGAAAAAAAATCTCCTCTGAGAATTCATAACCACAAGCTGAGCTGCACATGGGCTATGGGCTTGACTGTGGGTCAAAACACTTTAAACAGAAAATTTACTTTAAAGTGGTCCTGGGATGCTAGTCCTCCAGCTTCCTGACAGAAGCAAAAGCAAGTCCTCGGAGGAAAAACTGCTTTGCCTAAGGCCTAAAAAGATTCCCACGGAAAAACCTCCTCAGAACAAAGGTCTTTGGGGGAAAGAAAAAAATATAAAAAGAAAAAGAAAAAAAAAAGGAAAATTTCTCAAGAACATGAGCTCATCATTGTATCTGATCAAATATTGACTGTATAAAACAACAAAAAATCAAATTTGTGATGTTAAACTAGTTAGAACTAAACACACTGATCAAAACAGCACATAAATCAGGGAAGAGTGAATCAGGTAAAAGGTTCTTTTTTTTTTGAGACAGGGTCTCACTCTGTCACTCAGGCTGGAGTGCAGTGATGCACAGCTCACCACAGCCTCAACCTCTTGGGCTTAAATGATCCTCCCATTTCAGCCTCCCAAATAGCTGGGACTACAATGTATACCACCATGTGCGGCTAATTTTTAAATTTTTTTTTGTAGAAAACGGGGTTTTGCTGTATTGTCCAGGTTGGTATCAAACTCCTGGGCTAGGTAAGATGTTCTAAGACCCTTGTATCATTCAGGAAAAGGGTAAAACGACTGAACCTTGAGATTTTATTAAGTATATACTTTAAAATATTACAGGTAACCACTAATAGAATTTTTAAAATAAAGAACATATCATCCAAAGTTGTAGAGAGAGAAAAAAGAGGTGAGAAAAGAATACAACTTAATCACCCAACTTAATACTCGAAAAGAAGAAAGGTGATTTCCCCTCCCTAAAAGATATAAAAAGGCATGAGAAATAACATAACATGGCACAAATAAATCCAAATACACCTAAAATAACAATAAAAGCAAATGGAATAAATTACTTAATTAAAAGACAAAACACAGTTCTGAACTGTACAAGAATGCATCCAAGATATTTCTCTGCCAGGTTAATAATCCTAAATCCCAGGGTCCACTCTCAACTTTCTGTACACACCAACACAACAACAATAATAATGGCTAACACAAATAGAGAGCCCACGATATGCCAGGAAACACTCTTAGTGCTTTTCATATATAACTCCTTTAACAGCAGGAAGCTGGATTGGACACCTTGGTGACCAAATTTCACTTGTACGATCAGCAATAACTGGACCAAGAGGCAGCAGGTGGAGCCCTCATGAAAGGGAGGCCTTCCCCTGCCACATTGATCACTTACCCATTTCTCCCGAAGCTGGTTCACCTCCTCCTCATGGGCCACCATCTGCTGCTCCAGGGCAGTCTTCCCCTCTTGCTCAGCCCAGGCCAGCTGTCTGGCTGCAGCATCCCGCTCCTGCTCTGCCCGGCTCCGTTCAGTGTCCAGTTCTAGCTTCAGGCACCTCACTTCCCCTAACATGCCAGGGACAGGATCAGGCCTCTGCCCCCGCTCCTTTTATCTAATAAAATTCTCCCTCTCCCCTGACCTCATGAGCAACTCCCATCTCAGAGGCCCTGCACCCTGCTGGAGAAAGACCTGTAATAGCCTCCCACTGTCTTCCTAGCTTTCAATATCTCCATGGAATGGAGCACACCCCATCCCAGTTGGATTCTCACCTTGTATTACTTCCTTGGCTTGAGTGACAGTTTGAATCTGGACCTCCAGCTGCCCCTTGGTGACCTCTATCACAGAATTTTGTTGTTGGGCTTCAAACAGACTGCTCTCCAGTAGCTCTTTGGCTGAGCTGTAAGGTTCAGGAATCAGAAGAGGTTCTTACCCATCAAGGCCCTTACCCTTCAAGAGGGGTTGGGTTCTAAGTACTTACTGGCTACCTGGAGAAGTTAGGTGGGCAATTATAAATTCATAATCAATTTAGGACCTACATACTTAACGGCAGGGAGCTTACCTTCACTGCCTTTGCCTTGCAAAGTTCTCTCTGCGCGTGGCTGAACTGAGTCTAGGCCCTACCTGAGCCCCTGTAGTTGTTCAGCGAGGTCCTGCCGGTCGCGCTCCACGGCCTGCAGCCGCACCTCGAGAGCTGCCTTCTCTCGTACTACGGCCTCCTTCTCCTGGACTGCCCTGGCAAGCACTTCTTCCTGTCGTTTTGCCTCTTGATGCAGCTGCTCCAGCTGAGCCATGGCTGCCTCCTGCTGGTGATGTGACTGAGGGGAAGAATGTGGTGAGACGTGGAGCAGAGGCAGGATTCCCCCTGGGGCCACTACAGCCAGGTTAGGGGCACCGGCTCTTCAGAGACTCTGGACCTAGCTCTGTGGCCCAGACCATTACACACCCCATGTGGCATTTATCTATTCCCCTGATCAGCCCACAGAGCCCCCAGCCCAGGAAGAATGCTCTCTGGTGAGCAAGACCCTGTGCTAGGACAGCAGGAGACCTGCCCCTCAGGAGGTTTTAGTCCTGAGAAGATGCACACATAATACCAGGAAGAAAGTGATCAGTATCTGGAGAAAGGGACTCTGAAGCGAGAGTCCATAAAATTACTAGGACAGGCCGGGCGCGGTGGCTCAAGCCTGTAATCCCAGCACTTTGGGAGGCCAAGGCGGGTGGATCACGAGGTCAAGAGATCGAGACCATCCTGGTCAGCATGGTGAAACCCCGTCTCTACTAAAAATACAAAAAAAAATTAGCTGGGCATGGTGGCGTGTGCCTGTAATCCCAGCTACTCGGGAGGCTGAGGCAGGAGAATTGCCTGAACCCAGGAGGCGGAGGTTGCGGTGAGCCGAGATCGCGCCATTGCACTCCAGCCTGGGTAACAAGAGCAAAAACTCCGTCTCAAAAAAAAAAAAAAAAAAAAAAAATTACTAGGACAATGGGAGGTTTTGTAGAGGAGAAAGATGATCTTTGAGCCAGGTCATTTATTGGATCAGGAAAAAAATTTACTCAGCCCCTGTTGTGTGGTAGGCAGCATGCTAAAAGCTGGAGGAATAAAAACAAATAAGATATAGCTTTGCCTTCAAGGAGCTTTTGGTCTAAAGATGGAGACATATAAAGAGATAATTATGGCATGAGGAATGTAGCAGCTGAAATAAGCATGAGGTGCTATCAGAGTATAAGGAGAAGCTGGTATGAAGTAGTGGGGAATCAGTGAAGAGCTTTTTTTTTTTTTTGAGATGGAGTTTTGCTCTCTCACCCAGGCTGGGGTCCAGTGGCATGATCTTGGTTCACTGCAACCTCTGGCTCCTGGGTTCAAGCGATTCTCCTGCCTCAGCCTCCTGAGTAGCTGGGATTACAGGTGTGTGCCACTACGCCTGGCTATTTTTTTAATTTTTAGTAGAGATGGGATTTCATCATGTTGGTCAGGCTGGTCTCAAACTCCTGACCTCGTGATCTGCCCCCCTCTGCCTCCCAAAGTGCTGGGATTATAGGCGTGAGCCACCGCACCTGGCCGCAGTGAAGAATTCTTACAGGCATTCTTTTTTAAAATTGTAGGCCGGGCGCGGTGGCTCACGCCTATAATCCCAGCACTTTGGGAGGCTGAGGCAGGTGGATCACTAGGTCAAGAGATCGAGACCATCCTGGTCAACATGGTGAAACCCTGTCTCTACTAAAAATACAAAAACTTAGCTGGGCATGGTGGTGCAGCCTGTAGTCCCAGCTACTTGGGAGGCTGAGGTAGGAGAATTGCTTGAACCCAGGAGGCGGAGGTTGCGGTGAGCTGAGATCACGCCATTGCACTCCAGCCTGGGTAATAAAAGCAAAACTCCATCTCAAAAAAATTAAAAAAAAAAATTGTAAGATATACTGCAAACTAGTAACACTGGTCATTTCTAGGAAGTAAGACTTTTTTACTTTCCAGATAATTTCTGTAGTGTTTTAATTTTTTTAAATGAGCATGTATTATACCTTAATGATGGTGTCCATTTTGTCTTCTCACCTCATTTAGCTTCCTTTGAATTTCTTCCTTCTCTTCTTGGATACCTCTGAGATCTGCCTGCAGCTCAGCCCCAGCCTCCTCCGCTTTCTGCAACTGAGCCTCCAGGTGATTGTTCTTTCCCCAGAGGACTTCCCTGCTCCTCTCTGCCTCCGACAGGTCCACCTGTAAAGCATTTCTTGCGTGCTCTGCGGCCTCCATTCTGCTGCACACAGACTGGTTCTCCTCCTCTAACTACTGGCCAAAAAGGGAAAGGAGAACAGGCATCAAAGACAAATGGTTAGTTTAGGAATTAAATGCTAAGACTGAAATCCAAGTGAGATATGAATCTATTCTCCAAAGATGAACAAAGGAGTGTTTATCAGAGGGGGGATCATCTGCCGGGCGCGGTGGCTCACGCCTGTAATCCCAGCACTGTGGGAGGCTGAGAGGGGCAGATCACCTGAGATTGGGAGTTTGAGACCAGCCTGGTCAACACGGAGAAACACTGTCTCTACTAAAAATGCAAAAAATTAGCCAGGCATGGTGGCGCATGCTTGTAGTCCCAGCTACTTGGGAGGCTGAGGCAGGAGAATCTCTTGAACCCAGGAGGCAGAGGTTGCGGTGAGCTGAGATTGAGCCATTGCACTCCAACCTGGGCAATAAGAATGAAACTCCCTCGGGGCCGGGCGCAGTGGCTCAAGCCTGTAATCCCAGCACTTTGGGAGGGCGGGTGGATCACGAGGTCAAGAGATCGAGACCATCCTGGTCAACATGGTGAAACCCTATCTCTACTAAAAATACAAAAAATTAGCTGGGCATGGTGGCGCGTGCCTGTAATCCCAGCTACTCAGGAGGCTGAGGCAGGAGAATTGCCTGAACCCAGGAGGCGGAGGTTGCGGTGAGCCGAGATCACGCCATTGCACTCCAGCCTGGGAAACAAGAGCGAAACTCCATCTCAAAAAAAAAAAAAGAGTGAAACTCCCTCTCAGGAAAAAAATAAAAAGGGAGGGGGGGAAATCCATTCATTTGATCTAGTGCCTATAATCCAGATAATAGATGGGCTGGATGCTGGAGATGGAGATAGGAAAGGCAAAATCCTGCTCTCAGATAATTCAGAATAACGGAATAGAGAACATTTCTGGGGCTTAAGGGAACAGAGGTTGCAAGGAGGTAATCTGTAATCGATAGAAAACATTCTTTCGGACTTAGGCTCTTCAGCAGATTTTTTTTCTGGTGATTGCTATTATCTCACCCAACAGTATTAAAAACCTAGTCCGAGACTGGGCACAGTGGCTCATGTCTATAATTCCAGGGCTCTGGGAGGCTGAGGTGGGTGGATCACCTGAGGTCAGAAGTTCAAGAATAGCCTGACCAACATGGTAAAACCCTGTCTCTAGTTAAAATACAAAATTAGCCGAGTGTGGTGGTACATGCCCATAGTCCCAGCTACTCGGGAGGCTGAGGCAGGAGAATCGCTTGAACTCAGGAGGTGGAGGTTGCAGTGAGCCAAGATCACGCCACTGCACTCCAGCCTGGCAACGGAGTGAGACTCCATCTCAAAAAAAAAAAAAAAAAAAAAAAAAAGCTTAAAACCAGGAGGTAGAGACTGCAGTAAGCTAAGATCATACCACAGCCTGGGCGACAGAGGGAGATTCATCTAAAAAAAAAAAAAAAAAACAACCAGCAAAATTCTAGTCTTTCTTCCAGAGGACACGGGCCCCTTCCCAACCCTGGTGACTTACCCTGAAGCCCAGAGATGGTTCTGCAGATGTGGGAGTGGAGTATTTGTAACGTCTAAAGCCCAATCCTTACAGCCTTTGCTCTCCTCTGCACCGTAAGTATTCCTTTTGCTCATTTCAGAACTACATTTGGGAGCTGGTCTGTCTTGTCCTCAGTTAGGGTCCAACCCTTCCCTGGGAACCAGGAAAATCTTTACTCACCTGGAGAAGCTGCTGGTTCAGCCCAACTTTATCTAAGGCCAAAGCCTCATTTAAGGCACTGAGCTTGAGAGCTGCAGCTCGAAGATCAGCTACCTCTGCCTTCAGGATGTTTTCAGAACTCGACAGCTCTGCAATTGACTGCTCTGCCTAAAAACAAAGAGAGTTTAAGAGTTTCCTATTTCCAATTTTCCTGCAACAGTAAACAGTTCACATTCCGAACACTGCTGCTTTTTTGGTATAGAGATGAGTTAATACTCCATTCCTCTCCTGCATTCTAAACAAGTTTTCCCTTCAATCATTCGTTAAAGAGTAAGACAGAAGCTCACAGTATAGAGGTACCAATGTAAGGACAGAGAAATGATTACAGTTGTAATGAAGCCATAGAAAATGTAAGCACAAAGTGCTCTGGGAACTCAAAAAAATATTAATGTAGTTCGGAAGAATCAAATATGCTTGGTAGAGAAGCTGACGATTAAGTTGGGTATTGAGAGATGAGGAACAGTTTGCGCACGAAGGAGGAGGAAAGAAGTAGCGCAGGGAAAGAGGAAAGTATACGCAAAGTACTAGGGTCATGAAAGAACATGGAGTAACTGAGAATCTGATTACTGCTCCGTGGCAGGAACGAAGGATATGAGGCGTTAGGGCGGGTTTTGCAGTAGAAGGAGAGGCTAAAACACAGTTTAGGGCACATGACAAAAAGCTTTGAATGTGGCACCACAGAGCTAGAGGGCCGTTGAATGGTTTTAAGAGACAGACATAACCAGTTTTATACTTTAGAAAGCCCATTCTAATTTCAATATAGAGGGTATCTTGGAAGAGAGAACCCACAAGCAGACTAATGATTAAGGAAAGATGAGGGATCCTGGCTTGAAGGTGAAGAATGAGGCAGGCTGCATGAGAATACATTTTCGAAGCCGCCCACCCAGCAAGTGAGGAGAGGAGGCCACGCACCCTAGCCAGCGCTGCGGTCACTTCCGTTTGTTCTTGCCTCAGTAACTCCCCTTCCAGGCGACTTGACTCCAGAGCTTCCCGAAGAGTGATCAGTTCACTGAGTGATTCTGACTGTTTGGCTTCCAGGCCCACCAGCGTCTCCTGACTAAGATGGGAAGGAGAGGGGTCTAGAGGACTCTTAGGGATGGACCATAACCCCAAAGGTAACAGGAATGTAATCACCTTTGCTATGCAACGGAATGAGGAAGGTCTATAAAACTGATAAGGAAAGATTTCTAAGACATATCAAGAGAAAAAAAATCAAGGCACAGAACAGTATAAACATAATACACTACTTTTTATGCTAGAAAGCAGGAGAAGAAAGAATATATGCCTATATTTGCATGAAGTAGCACCGGCAAGATAAACAAGAAGTCAACTAAAATGGCTGCCTAAAGAGGGAAGGGACATGAGATGGAGAAAGCACAAGTGAGAATGAGACTTCTCTGTGTATCTTCTAAACTCACTGAAGCCTCAAACTCCTGGGGGCTCATGTGATCCTCCCATCTCTTTTCTTTATTTTTATTTTTTTAATAGAGATGGGGTTTCATCATGTTGGTCAGTCTGTTCTTGAACTCCTGACCTCGTGATCTGCCTGCCTCGGCTTCTCAATGTGCTGGGATTATAGGCATGAGCCATCGTGTCCAGCCTCTTTTCTTTCCTTTTTTTTTTTTTTGAGACAGGCTCTTGCTCTGTCAGCCAGGCTGGAGTGCAGTGGTGCAATCTCGGTTCACTGCAACCTCTGCCTCCTAGGTTCAAGCGATTCTCCTGCCTCAGCCTCCAGAGTAGCTCAGACTGCAGGTGTGTGCCACCACGCCCAGCTAATTTTTTGTATTATTAGTAGAGATGGGGTTTCACCATGTTAGCCAAGCTGGTCTTGGACTCCTGATCTTGTGATCTGCCCGCCTCAGCATCCCAAAGTACTGGGATTAAAGGCGTGAGCCACTGCACCCAGCCGATCCTCCCATCTACCCTGCCAAGGCTACAGGCACATGCTACCACATTCAGCTAATTTTTTATTGTTTCTGTGGAGACAGAGGTCTCACTATGTTGCCCAGGCTGGTCTCAAACTCCTGGCCTCAAGCAATCCTCCCACTAAGGCCTCTGAAGGGGTTGGAATTACAGGTGTGAGTCAATGTGCCTAGCCTTAAAATAGTTTTGACTTTTGAATCATATAAATGTATTATCAAGTCAGATAAATTAAATTTAAAAACATATTAAGATCTCTGTGGATTGTCTGCCCTTGTCTCTGGTACAGGGAGATCATTCTTAGCACAAGCCATGACCCTTATGGTAGCCCTTTAAGCTTCAGCTATTCATGCCTACCAGATATAAGGAACTGGGGCATAGAGGGAAATAGAACAAAGATGAAAATACATTCCAGGGGCCTGGCGCAGTGGCTCACGCCTGTAATCCCAGCACTTTGGGAGGCCAAGGCGGGTGATCACGAGGTCAAGAGATCGAGACCGTCCTGGTCAAGATGATGAAACCCCGTCTCTACTAAAAATACAAAAAATTAGCTGGGCATGGTGGCACACGCCTATAATCCCAGGTACTCAGGAGGCTGAGGCAGGAGAATTGCCTGAACCCAGGAGGCAGAGGTTGCAGTGAGCCGAGATGATGCCATTGCACTCCAGCCTGGGTAACAAGAGTGAAACTCTGTCTCAAAAAAAAAAAAAAAAAAAAGAAAAGAAAATACATTCCTGCTCCCAGTTATTAAAGACCTACAATATGCCTGGATCTACGTTGGCATTTTTCAGAACATTGCTCTAATTTTCCCAGCGACCCTTCAAGATAAATAGTATCATCATCATTTTACAAATAATCTGTCCAACTGACAGAGCCGTAATTCCAACCAAGCTTTTGCCCAGCTCAAAGTCCTTGCTTTTCATGTGACATCATATAGGGGAATTTACAGATTAGCTGGGGCCTTTGATTTTGGATTTCCCTTTCTTGACTAGCTAGCACATTTCCCACTACTCCCCATATAAGTCTTAGCCTTTAGCCACCCCAGCCTACTCTGAACATGTCATGAACCTTCCTGCCTCCTTTTATTTGCTAATCTGTTCCTTGAGCTCTTCTCCCACTCTCTACTAACCAAACAGGTCAAGGCCCAGCACAAAGTCTACGCACTCCTCCATAAAGCATTCCCTAGTCCTCGATAATTAACCGTTACTCCTGTGCTCCCAAAGGGCTTAGTCTGAAACTCTATTTAACTCATACTTCATCTGGCCTTATGTCACAGTTAGTCGTCTGTCTTTTGGGAAGCTCCTGAGATTAGGGCTTTTGTCTTATTCATTTCTGTTTTCCCCCCACTGTCTCATCCCATATGGGTGCTCTGCAAAGACTTAACCAACCACGAACTTTCCGTATTCATCTTTCTGCAAAGAAAGAAGCAGTAAGCTAATCTGAACCCACTGCATGCCACACTTCTACATACTCTACTTTCTAAGAGAGGGGACTAGGTGAGGAGGATGCAGAATTGAAGGAAGACCAGGCCCCAGAGAGGAGGAGACTGGTTACACTTACAGACGCTCCCTCTCCCGCACAGCCAGGTGCAGCTCCTCCTGCTGCTCCTCATTCTGGCCCTGGGCAGAGTCCCCCTGCAGCTGAAGCTCCACATTTGCCCTTCGCAGGCGCCATGCCTCCTGCTCTAGCACCTCCAGCTGCTGCCGCAGCTCTTCCCTGGCCTTCTGCAGCAGCTCTCGCTCCCTGGAAGAAGGAAATCAGAGATGAGGAGAGACCGTGGGACCTCAATTTCTTTCTGGAAGCAGACATCACAGGTTCAAATGAAAGGTGCTTGTCTCAAGATCCCATCTTCCCTTTAGACTCCAACCCAAAAGCTTGTTCTGCAGAAACAAGTAGAACACAGAGCAAAACAGCCCTGAGTCTTAGGGACAGCAGGGTCAGCACCCCAAAACCTGATGTGAGTGGGTAAGTGGCTGGATGAGGCTGGACTGAGACCAGGCTGGGAGGGGAGGATAAATAGCCCATCTGCTCACTTGCTAAGAGAGTCCACCTCTCCCTGCAGGTCCACAGTCTGCCCTGCTAGAGTGTCCCGCTCCCCAGTGAGCTTCTGCAGCCGCTGTCTCAAGGCTTTGCCTTCTTCCTCCCACTGATCATGCTGCTGTTGCAACAAGCTCACAGCCTCTTGGCAGCCTGCAAGCTGCTGCGTTAGGTCCTGTGGAGGGAGAGCAAGAGAAACCAGATGATGAGCAAGGGCAAAGGAGATGTCAGAACCCTGAATGTGGAGCCGGAGAAGGGGGTCAGGGGCTGGTGCAACAAGAGTAAGCTAAGAAGGGAGATGCAACTCTTCAAGAAGACAGACCATCAGAGGTCACTGGGCTTCTGTGGCTCTAGATTCTTAGAGTTTGTCATCTCCAAGTGTACAGTGGCATGGGAGAGTGGTAAGTGTGCCTAGGACCCTCAGAGTTGGAAAACACTGGCCCAATCATCTCCCAGGGCTCTGGTTCCCAATCTCTGCATGTTAGGCAAAGAGTGTATACAAAGTGAAGCATGCCATTGGCATGGATGTGCCTGCTACTCACAAGCACAATTCAGCAGACACAGACAGATTCACTTTGGGATGCTGACAAAACACCTCACGATTGGTCAACAAAGTGAAAGGGACAGTCCAAGCTAGGGAGGTATCTGGGGCACACATCAGTTTAGACACACACCCCTGCGACTGAGGGATAATGCTGAGGGTTCTTACCAGCACAGCCTGGCGTCTCTGAGTCAGCACAGAACGCACCAGAGTAAGAGCCTTGTCTGGATCCTGGTAATCAAACTGGGAGAAGATACTAGCGTCCAATTCCAAAGAGCTCTCATGACCAGAGCCTTGGGCTATATTATCCCCTTCTTCCACCATGACCTGAAACCCAATACAGCAGGGTCAACACCCTACTGACCAAAGCCTAGAGTTTATACAGGGACTTAACCCTGTAGCCTGGACAAACCTGATGTTTTCCTTTTCAGATCCTCTCCCTTGGGGGAAGGAGGGGAGTATCTGAGAGCATAAAAGTCTGGTTCCCTCAACTCTCCACCTTTGGTCACCCACGTCTAGTACTAGCAACAAGGCTAGAACACTCTCTGAGGTAACAAGTGAAGAAATAAAAGATGAAACTATTGAGATAGTGAAGACCAGAATCTAGCCTCTGCCCTGAGAACTGCCGCTAGAAACAGGAAAGAGGGCCTATCTTTTCAGGTAGTGCTAAGACACGAATGCATAGCTATCTCTTAGGGTTCTGGTCTTCAAAAACACAGAACTCATCCCCACAAGACTTTAAGCCCCCAAACCTCAGAGACTGGAAGTCTAAGCAGGACTGAAAGGACATGGAGACCTGGGGAGAGGAGGCATAACCTGGTTACCATGAATAGGAGGCTTCCCAGTACCTGGGTTATATCCTTGATCACCTGCTGTAAAGACAACTTCTCCTCTTGGGCATTCCTACTGAGAGATGCTTCATGTTCCATTAACTCTGTGTGATTTGTCTCCTGACCAAGGAACAGAATAGAGCTTCAGAGCCAAACTATCAAAAGTGAATTTATTATTCCAGGCCCCCATACAACCAAAGTCTCATTCCATCTATTCTATCAGCCCCACTTTTTCCCTGACCATACGTGAATGCTAATATGTTATCTGAAGAGTCTGAAGACAATGTGATGTGGTGATTACAAGTTTAGATTAAGTGATTATGAGTTCCCAATTAGACTTCACAGATTAGAATTCCTGCTCCTATCACTTACTAGCTTGGTTACCATAGGCAACTATTTCTTTGGGCTTCTTTAAAATAGAAATAATTATCAGTAACTACTTGTTTTGAGGCTTAAATGAAAAATGCATTTATGTTATTCAACATAGTATCTGGAACAAGGCAAATGTTCAATAAATGTAAGCTATTATTAGATGGGGGACGGCTGTTGTCTCTGAACAGTAAATGGATGCTTGAGACCTAATGCTAAACCAGAGAATCCTCTAGCCCCAAAGCTAGACATAATCTTAAAGACTCAAGAGTTCTTCTCTTCCCTCCTATTTGTGTTAGTGAAGGCCTGAAGACTTAGACTTGCAACTATGTTTTATTTGGCTTACACAAAATTTGAATCAACATTTATAAATGGAAAGATTTTACATTAAAAACATAAATTTCCGCCTTCTACCAAAATGTTAATAAATGGGCCACACCCAGCCTTCATTCCTACATGGAAATGATTTACTGAAGTTGAACGGCGGATGCCTCCTCTAGATGAGACATTTATTCTTCAAGGTTTCACAATCTCTATCACTCCTCATGGCTTCCTTAATACTGAGCTCAAGTGTTCCCTGCAGTACTGAAAACTAAATACAACAGCACTGGAAAACCAGAATTCTTACAACTGAACCCACTTCATTTCATTTATTTACATTATCTGAGCCCCATGGATATTCTGAATTGGCAAATTCCTGAAAAAAAAAAAAAAAAAAAAAAAAAGGGTCGGGGAGCGGGGTGCGGAATCAGAAAGTGACAATGGCTGTTGATTGATCCCAGCTTGCATGAGAAGACTAGGAGTATGTATATGAATAGGGGTTCAGGAGCTACCTAACATCAGGAATCTGAAAACTTGCAGAGATGAAACATGATATCAAGCCAGAGGGTTCTAACATCCAACCTTAGAGAATCCCTTTGATAACATCCCTGGCAGATGTTAAGCCACTGACCAAAACCTCACTCCTTCACAAGACAGGCTGTTCAACTACTGAAGAGCTCTAACTGTGAGTCAGAATCTACTTCCCTAATAACTTCTAGCTATTGACATTGGTTTTGGCCTAGAAAACATTAAATACATAAACTCTCTTTTCCCAGTGTCAGTCCTTCAGATATGTAAGGGCAGCTATCATGTCTTCAAGGGCCTTCAATAAGCTTCAGGCTCTTTCTACTGCTGGCTAAACACTGCCATACTCCTCAGTTGTTTCCCATGTGACAAGGTTTTAAATCTCTCCACACATACGCTTCCTGGTAACTCACTAATTTGCTAATGTGTCTCTGAATGTATGTGCAAAGTCTCTGGCATACTGCATATGCATGCCATTGCAATTTCCCCAGGAATACAGTAGGGATAGTAGACAGCCAATAACATTTATTCAATGAATAAATGAATGAGTTAATTGATTATCAGATTCACCCAAAATTTATTTTTTAGCTTTAGAGGATTTCGTCATGGTATATTTAATTGATATCCTGCACTATCTGTCCATATAGGACAAGAAACCTACAAGCCCATGCCCTATTCCCTTCCAGAACAAAGGATCATGTACCAGGATCTCCAATGTCTCTCTCAGAGCCTTTACCATCTTTTCATAATCTTCATTTTGCTTCTGAGACTGGGTCAGCAGAGCAGAGAGCTCAGTCACCCTAAAGAGAAGAGCATAGCACTGTCACCAGAACAACCCATGGATGTGGACAGAGCTCCGATGAAGCACACCCCAGACCCAACCCCAGACACTCCCAACTGTGGCCACCCTAAAATCCCTTAGCACCCCTAGCCCCTCTGCACTCCCTGAATACCACCTGATGCTATAGCCTTGAAGTAGGGAGGCAAAAAATCACTCAGACACATGCAGGGATTTACCACATCTCAAGGCTGGAACACGCGTTTGGGGACCTGAGAGCTGAAGGAAAGCCCTGGCCCAGGCCCTTCCAGGCCTCACTTGATCTTGAAGTCAAGCACCCTGAAGCCAATGCAGAACATCAGAAGTGCTGCAAGGGATAGTCCCAAGGTCCCTCCTGCCTGAGGTTCTGACTCTGATAGGGAGAAAGGAAGGGCAATTTGGGGAAGATTATGGTCAACCTTCTTGATATTAAACTCAAGGTCCAGGAAAATCACCAAACACTTAAACTGTATCTTGGAGCTTACTGCTTGGTAATATGTGAATGGCTAAATAAATATTTCTTGAATGAATGGTATCTAAAAGTTTAAATGTTTTTTTTTCAGTATTTTTTTTGAGACAGGGTCTTGCTCTGTTGACCAGGCTAGAGTACAGTGGTGCAGTCATAGCTCACTCTCAAGCAATCCTCCTGCCTCAGCTTCCCAAGTAGCCAGGACTATAGGTGCATGCCACCACATGGCTATTTTTTTTCTATTTTTACTTTTAATAGAGACAAGGTCTCAGTTTGTTGCCCAGGCTGGTCTTGAACTCCTGGGCTCAGTGAACCTCTTGCCTCAGTGAAAGTCTTAGTAATTTTATCCTATACCATCTCTAAGAAACTTAACTCACTGTATGGTCATTTGTTTAAGTATTACATCACTCAACAAACATTTATTGGCCAGGCATGGTGGCTCAAACCTGTGATCTTAGAACTTTGGGATGCCAAGGTGGAAAGATTGCTTGAGATCAGGAGTTCTAGACTGGCCTGGGAAACATAGCAAGACTCCACCACTCCAAAAAATAAAAAAAAAAATCAGCCAGGCATAGTGGTGTGTGCCTGTAGTCCCAGCTACTCTGGAGGGTGAAGCAGGAGAACTGCTTGCGCCAAGGAGGTCAAGACTGCAGTGAGCTGTGTTTGCACTACTGCACTACAGCCTGGGCAACAGAGCTAGCCTCTGTCTCAAAAAGCACAGAAACAAAATGTATCGAGTATCTACTATGTGGCAGGTGAAGTACAAAGTACTAGAAACACAAAACTTACGAAGCCGTGGTCTCTGTCTTTGTGCTTCTCAGTGCCTCCAAAAGCAAAAACAAAATAGTCCTGCATTTTATGTATGTATCTCCAACAGGTGAAGACACAACCCTAGTCATGGGCATTTGTGAACTTTGTCCTGAGATTCATTGGCGCTCTCTGCTCATTTCCCTGCCTTTCTACATCATCATTTTTAAAAGACCTACTTCATTATAATCCAAAAATTAAAACAGCCTGACCAAAAAAAAAAAGAAGGTGGGGGAAACTAAATCATCAGTGAGATCAATGCTGTAATAAGAAGTCAAAAGACTACAAGAGCACAGTAACTTAGCAGGCTACTAAGGTCAGAGAAGGCTTCATAGAAGAGGTGACATTTTGGCCAGCTGTGGTGGCTCACCCCTATAATCCCAGCACTCTGGGAGGCTGAGGCAAGTTACTTGAGGTCAGGAGTTTGAGACCAGCCTGGTCAACACTGTGAAACCCCATCTCTATTAAAAACAAAAAAATTAGTCAGATGTGGTGGCGCATGCCTGTAAACAGTCTCAGCTACTTGGGAGCTGAGGCAGGAGAGTCATTTGAACCCGGAAGGCAGAGGTAGCGGTAGCTGAGATTGTGCCACTGCACTTCAGCCTGGGCAACAGAGTGAGACTCTGTCTCCAAAAAAAAAGGTAATATTTGAACTATGCCTTAGAGGATAAGGCAGAGAGAGAAGGGAGCGAGGCTTTCCAGACTAAAGTCAGCAGGTACAAAGGCAGGGAAAGGGAAGAGCTTGGCTGTTCTGGGAATGGCAAGTAGTTTGGTGTTCATGGAGGATGGAGTCATAGCTAGCTCTATAAATCAACAGGAGAGAAACTGGGCTGAAAGACAGGCTGAGGGCAGAGATCAGTACAAGCCCCAACTGTGGCATCAGCTTTCAAAGTAGACTCCCTCAGGCACATCTTCTTCCCCTCCATGGTAGGAATGTTCTTGGCATCTCCCCTCCCTGTCCCTAACCCTCTAAGGAGTCAGCTCTCTCTCAGCAAACCCTTCCTGAGACCCCAGGCCATCTCACCGGTCCTGCAGTTCAGCCCTCTCCAGATTCCCTTGACTCTTCAGCTGTATTAACTCCTGGCTCCTCTCATGGGCTTCCTTCTCCAGCTCCTGGGTCTTGGCTAGCAGCAGCAGCAGCTGGGCTGGTTCCCGCCCATCCATTCTCCCAGATCTGTTGGGTTCCCGAGACTGTGCTCCCACAGTCAAGCGCAGACAACAGGTCAACAGGGACCCGGAAAGCCTCACGTGCTCAGCCTTTAGCTCTGTCAGATCTCTGAGTACAAGCAAGGAAAACAGCAGACTCCACTAAGAACCAGGGAAGGGAGTGTGGTGATCAGGCCCAGTGAAGCATGAGGAGCAAAGCTGGGAAAAATCTGCTTCCACCACTACCAACTCCCCAGCCTACCCCACCCTCATAGCTGATCCCACTTCTATAGCAGCCCACTATTGTAAGTCCAGAATTGGTAGGGGCAAACCTCCTCCGTTCTTCTCCCCACACTGACCTGTCAGTAGCTGACTTCATTTCCAGGAAATGGCGTCGGAAGGTCACCACCTCCCGCCATAGACTGAGAAGGCGACCATGCTCTCCTTTCAGGTAGCCCTTGAAGAACTGTGTGTTCAGAAACCCAGGTCATACCAAAAGGCAGAGGACTATGTTTTGCCAACACAAGAGTCTTGGATTCCTCCTGACTACTGGGGGAAGGAAGGAGGGACTTACAGGAGATCGTTTATGAATGGTTATCTATCCAGGTTATGCTGAAGGGTTTAATAAAGTTGGCAGTGGGATTTGAGAGGTCAGAGGCCTAGGATGGTATGTCACTTTCCTCTGGGCCTATTGGAAAAGAATACACAGTAGCTGCTTAACAAAAGGGGGCAGACTTTTATAAGGAGAGTCAATGATATACATAAACCACCTAGCACAAAGAAAGCAAAAGTGCAGGAAACATTTGTTTCCTTCAGCTGGGACCCAAAAATTCCGCAGGGCCTATAACTGGTCTTTCTTTCCTATTCAGTTTCAATATCTGCCTCTTTAGCATCTAGATATGCAAGGCCTCCAGACCAGGAGAGTCAATAAGCTTTCAGGCCCATGGAAAACCTAAGATGTCACTTCTGCAGGAACAGAGTTGCTTTGAGTGCCATGCTACCTGCCAGCAGAACCTAGACTAGGCAGGTAGTGGCAGGTCTAAGCTGAGGACCCAAGCAGGATGAAGCTGCCAGCATGGGCAGGTTAAGAATGGTCAGAGACTTCAACAGCAACAGCTCAGTTTCCATCTAAGTCCTGAAGTTAACCCCTTCCAGTACTGACCAGGGCAGCATCCAGAGTGCACAGCCTTCCTCTTGCAGTTCCAGTCCCTGTTCGTCCTACCTCCTGCTCCATCCGCCACTGGCTCTCCTTCCTCATTAGCTCATCCCGGGCCCGGCTCCAGTCGACGGTCAATTTTTCCACATCTTCTCTAAGGGCTTTATTCACCACATCAGCTTTTTCCATGTGCAGTCGAAGCTGGGTGTTCACCTCTGCTAGACTCTCACACCTGCACTGGGGAGAGGTAAAAGTGGGTACAAAATAAAGGTCTGGTTCAACCCTTGGACCTCCTGGGAGTAAGATGGCAACCACCGAAATTTTCCATTGCAAGAAATTAGAGGGCTGAAGTCTATGGCTCTAATCCACATTAGTCCTCAGGGCAGAGTTTTCCCATCAGCCTTCTCCACCCACTGGCCAATTACCCAGGCCAGAAAGTTTGGGGTCCATCACCTCTGTTGCTCCTCCTCCAATCGAACCAGCAGCTCATCCAGGTTTGACTCCTCCACATTTTCCCACCTCTGGGGGAGTGGTCCCTGGGCCAGACAGAGACAAGTCTTATTTACCTCGGAAGAAAACGTCACTCAGACCAGTTCCCTGAGGTTCCCTTCCATGGCAGTCCACTTTCTTTCTATTCTTTCTCCCCTTTGTTAGCAATATGCTTCTACTCTCAATCACTGCATTCCTCACTCCAAAAGCGAACTGATGATCTCTCCCGAAAGATGGCCTTTGGTAGTAAAAAGAATCTTCGATCTAAGAAGTGATATATCTTTCACTAATGGCCTTGACTTCCACTACACTAATTGTTTGACCTTGGGAAGTGATTTTTTTTTTTTTTGAGACAGAGTCTTGCTGTGTCGCCCAGGCTGGAGTGCAGTGGCATGATCTTGGCTCACTGCAACCTCTGCATCCCAGGTTCAAGCGATTCTCCTGCCCCAGCCTCCCGAGTAGCTGAGACTACAGGCGCCTGCTGCCACACCTCACTAAATTTTTGTATTTTTTAGTAGAGACAGGGTTTCACTGTGTTAGCCAGAATGGTCTCGATCTTCTGACCTCGTGATCCGCCTGCCTCAGCCTCCCAAAGTGTAGGGATTACAGGCGTGAGCCACCACATCTGGCCCTCATTTTTCTTTTTGAAGATGGAGTCTTACTCTGTTGCCCAGGCTGGAGTGAAATGGCATGATCTCAGCTCACTGCAACCACCACTTCCTGGGTTCAAGTGATTCTCCTGCCTCAGCCTCCCAAGTTGTTGGGATTACAGAGACCCATCACCATGCCTGGCTAATTTTTGTATTTTTAGTAGAGATGGGGTTTCACCATGTTGGCCAAGCTAAAAAATTAGCTGGGCATGGTGGCGCGTGCCTGTAATCCCAGCTACTCAGGAGGATGAGGCAGGAGAATTGCCTGAACTCAGGAGGCAGAGGTTGTGGTGAGCCGAGATCGCGCCATTGCACTCCAGCCTGGGTAACAAGAGCAAAACTCTGTCTCAAAAAAAAAAAAAGAAAAAGAAAAAGAGAGACTCCTACCAAACACCTCCTTGTACACTCCAAACTGTTCTTGAATTCCTGGCCTCAAGTGATCCACCCACCTCAGCCTTCCAAAGTGCTGGGATTACAGGTGTGAGCCACCACACCCAGCCTAGGAAGTCATTTAACTTCTTGGAGCTACAGTGTCTTCAGCTACAAAATGAAGGTGATATCAGTCCCTTCTGAAAGTTGCTTTAAAGGTTTGTTTTCAACTTATAACATTTTATTTTCTTTTTTTTGAGACAGAGTCTTGCTTTATTGCCCAGGCTGTAGTGCAGTGGTGCAATCTCGGCTCACTGCAACCTCTGCCTCCTCAGTGCAAGTGATTCTCCTGTCTCAGCTTCCCAAGTAGCTGGGATTACAGGCACACACCACCATGCCCAGCTAATTTTTTGTGTTTTTAGTAGAGATGGGGTTTCACCATGCTGGCCAGGCTGGTCTCGAACTCTTGACCTCATGATCTGCCCATCTCAGCCTCCCAAAGTGCTGGGATTATAGGAGTGAGCCACCATGCCCAGCCTTTTCAACTATGATATTTTCAATTTAACAGTGGGTTTGGGCCAGACACAGTGGTTCACACCTGTAAACCCAGCACTTTGGGAGGCCAAGGCAGGAGGATTGCTTGAGTCCAGGAATTTGAGACCAGCCTGGGCAACATAGAGAGACCCTGTGTCTGTAAAAAAATAATTAGCCGGGTATGGAGGCATGTGCCTGTAGTCCCAGCTACTTTTTTGGAGGCTGAGGTGGGATGATTGCTTGAAACCAGGAGGTTGAGGCTGCAGTGACCCGTGATGGCACCAGTGCACTCCAGCCTGGGTGACAGTGAGATCCTGTCTCAAAACAAACACCAACCGAACAAGCAAACAAAACAGCCCCAAACAATGGGTTCATCCAGACGTAACCCCATCATAAACCAAGGAGCATACTGAATGCATATAGCTTTCACACCACCATAAAGTTGAAAATTTGCACCATCCTAAGCTGGGACCATCTGGATATGACAGTGCCGCATGCTGCCTGACCTGCATTGAAGGTGCTCAATAAGTTTTGGTTCTTTCTTTCCTCTGAGAGAACTTTTCTAAGGAAAATGTGAGGAGGTGCTGAGAGGGAGCTGGAACAAAGGCAAATAAAAGAGCTTTTCAAAGCCAGTTCTAATAGCACAGACATCCCTCTGCTGCAGACAATGCTGTAGGCCCGGAAAGGCCTGCATCTTTCTATGACAGACAAACACTGACACCTGCTGGACGAAACTTGTACTTCTTCCCGCTAATCCCACACTCCTCCTAATCTAATTTACATTTCATCCTTTGAGAACCACTGGTTGGAAACTGACAGGGCAGCTAGGTCTGATGAAGATGTCGGTGTGATAAAGCTCTCAGAGGTTGAAAAAGAGAGACTCGGCCGGGCGCGTTGGCTCAAGCCTGTAATCCCAGCACTTTGGGAGGCCGAGGCGGGTGGATCACGAGGTCAAGAGATTGAGACCGTCCTGGTCAACATGGTGAAACCCCGTCTCTACTAAAAATACAAAAAATTAGCTGGGCATGGTGGCGCGTGCCTGTAATCCCAGCTACTCAGGAGGCTGAGGCAGGAGAATTGCCTGAACTCAGGAGGCGGAGGTTGCGGTGAGCCGAGATCGCGCCATTGCACTCCAGCCTGGGTAACAAGAGCGAAACTCTGTCTCAAAAAAAAAAAAGAAAAAGAAAAAGAGAGACTCCTACCAAACACCTCCTTGTACACTCCAACCTCTCTCAGTCAACAAATGAAACCTAAACAAGTATATTCACTGAGGATCCAGGGGGTTCACAGAGCTCAACCTCACTCACTCCAGTGGCTTCCAGACGCTTCTCCAGCTCTTGGCACCAGCTCCGGTACTGCAGCACCTGTGGCAAACAGAACAGGCCCTGGGCAATGAACACAGCTGGCACAAACAGCCCAAAGCAAAGGCCCCTGAGGCTCCTAGGCAAACTTGCTATGAACAAAAGAACTGGGGGGTGACAGTGAGGTAAGGCCATAACAGCTTATAGTTTCTATTTGGGCATTTTTTTCTTTTTTTGGGATGGAGTCTTACTCTGTCTCTCAGGCTGGAGTGCAGTGTTGCAATCTTGGCCCACTGCAACCTCTGCCTCCTGGGTTCAAGCGATTCTCCTACCTCAGTTTCCTGAATAGCTGAAATTATAGGCACATGGCACCACACCCAATTTTTCTTTTTTTTTTTTTTTTTTGAGATGGTGTCTTGATCCATTGCCCAGGCTGGAGTGCAGCAGCGTGATCTCGGCACTGCAACCTCTGCCTCCCGGGTTCAAGTGATTCTCCTGCCCCAGCCTCCTGAGTAGCTGGGATTACAGGTGTGCGCCACCATGCCCATGCCCAGCTAATTTTTTCATATTTTTAGTAGAGACGGGGTTTCACCATGTTGGCCAAGCTGATCTCGAATGTCTGACCTGTGATCTGCCATGGCCTCCCAAAGTGCTGGGATTACAGGCGTGAGCCACTGTGCCTGGCCTTATTTGGACATTTAAATAACACTTGCTATATGCATTATATTGTATAGGTAAGATCATGGGCTTTGGCTCTAGACTAGGTGAGCAAACCTGGATAACTAATTTAACCCTTGTGAATTTTGTCTTTAAAAGGGATATATTAGCCGAGAGTGGTGGTGCACACCTATGGTCCCAGATACTCGAGAGGCTGAGGCAGTAGGATGGCCTGAGCCCAGGAGGTTGAGGCTGCAGTGATCTGTGATCATACCACTAAACTCCAGCCTGGGTAAGAGAACAAAACCCTATTTCAAAAATAGGATAAAATAAAATAAAATAAAAAGGATATAATACGTACTTCAAGGAACAGTTGTGAGCATCAGAAGAGAAGCTGTACGCAAAAGCTAGAAGGTCTGGGTCTTATCTCACCAAGCTAGGTGCAGGCCACTCCCACAAGGTTCTGCCTCCTACCACACTTCTCTCACCTCAGCACCCAGCTCTGGTGGTTGTTCTCTTTCCCCTCCCCAAAAGGGCAGCTGCCTCACCTTGGCCTGCAGCTTCCTCACAAGGGTTGCTTGTCTCTGCTGGGCCTCCTGGGAGTTCTTCAGCTTCCGCCAAGAGGCTGCCTGATTCTCAGCCATCTGCTGCTGTAGTGCCAGCACCTGCTCTTCCAGCATCAGCCGCAGTGACGGGGGCTTCATGTTATTCAACCCAGAGCTTCTTGTCTCCATGAGGGCACAAGGCAGTAAGCCCACAGATCCCTAGGTAGTCAGAGACTGTTCACGCCCAATAGGGTCTCTAATCATTGCCATGCCACTTCAACCTTCTCTGGAACTGGGGACCAAAGCACATAGTCAAATTGAAAAGACTGTTCTTTTACTATTTACAAGACTTCTCAGAACTTTTTTTTTTTTTTTTTTTTTTTAGACAGAGTCTCATTCTGTCTCGTGCAGTGTCACAATCTTGACTCAGTGCAACCTCCACCTCCTGGGCTCAAGGGATTCTCCTGCCTCAGGCTCCCGAGTACCTTGGATTACAGGCACACACCACCACGCCCGGCTAATTTTTGTATTTTGTATTTTTAGTCGAGAAGGCGTTTCACTACATTGGTCAGGCTGGTCTCAAGCTCCTGACACCTCGTGATCCACCTGCCTTAGCCTCCCAAAGGGCTGGGATATTATAGGCGTGAGCCACTACGCCTGGCCCAGAACCTTTTAAATACTAAGAGGGACCCTCATCTCTGAGGGGCGCTATGATGAGCATCATTCCCCAAATTTAACCATGAGACAAGCTCATAGGGCTAGTGTCTCCTGGCATGCCTTCTGGAACCCTGCACTAAACCAAGAGCACGTGGTTTATGACTGCATCCTTAGTGCCTGGCACAGTGGCTCAAAAACATTTGTTGAATGAATTGCTGAAGGTGTTCTTAGTCTAGCAGGTGAAATAGACACAATTACAATATATAACGTGGCATGTGAAATAAGAAGAAGATAGTATGAGAAAACAAAGGAAGAGAACTTCACGCAGATTGAGGAGCTGTAAACTGTGTGAATTATCATCATCTTCATAGTTAATACTTGCTGAGTGCTTCTGGAGAGCTGTTGCTTTAAGGGCTTTATATGCATAATGTCATTTTGTCTTTACAAAAATCTTGAAACCTTCCAATGCCTTCCCATTACACTTCATCAAATATACTATTACAACTCTTTACATATAGATGAGGAAACTGAGGCTTAGAAAGGTTAAAACTTGTACCAAGCCACACAGCTTGCAGGTGGTTGATGAGAGATTTGAACACAAGTAATCTGACTGACGAAGAAAAGGGGTAGCAGGCATTTCAGGCATGGGATCCAAAAGAGAGAAGGAACCAGTGGAGGCAGGATAGCCAAACCCCCTCACCCACCAGGAGCTGGGCCAAAAACAGGGCAATGGGCCACCGTAGGCAGAGGCGACCAGCTTAATGGTAACCTTCAGAGATACCCAGGAGAGGGGAAAGCATGGTGGTAAAGAAGAGTTCTGGGTGGTAGTCCAAGCTCCGCCTCCAATGGGTTCTGTGACCTCAGATGTGCTACTTCCCTTTCTCATCCAGAAATGAGGCCATTGAGTTATATGACCTCTGAGTTACTTAGGCCTCTAAAGCACACAATTATCCTATCACTTGGGCCAGGGAAAGAGTTCTCTTATTTTATGACTTTCAGCAGCAGGGCTAAGGAATTATTTGTATTTTCAACTACCCATCAACAAAAGGGTATATACAGCAAATGCAAACCTAACATTTGCACATACAGAAGAAATTTCAAGGGCCCCAAATCCCTTTAATGCACCAAACTATTGATTTCCCACATCCTGGCTCAAATGCCACATCCTATCATGTCCTTCCAGATGAACCCAGGAAGAGTTCATCACTTTTATAGCTATATACACAGAAAGAATACGTATGTTCTGATGTCTACTCTACATTTTATCATCATTACTTGTTTACTTTCTCTGCTAATCCACGAGTGCCTCAAAGGCAGAAGCCATTTAATTCATTTTAATTGTAAGTTGTTAACAATGTCATGTCCAATGAAGAAATGTCAGGGGGACTTTGGGGCCTCATAAACTCCCACTATATGCAAAACCTTAGGCCAGAGATTACAAATCAGTGCCCTGCTAGCTCTTTTCAGCCATTGTGTGGCCCACACAATTGTTTTTAAGAATTCAAATTAGATGCCAACATTTGTCACTGGGAGAATGTACATAAAATCCATATTTCTGGCTCCTTTGGAAAATCACCATACCTAGTGATGTTTGACCCATATTCCCATGAGGCAACAACCAGTCGTGCAGGTGAATAGGCCTTTAGACAGCGCATGTGCCCCACACAGGTGCATAGTGCCTGCCCCCTTTACACAGGGCACGTACTCTCCAGTTCATCGTGACCTCCCCTATACACACATCGATTCTCTCCTTCACAATGATCACATATTTCAGTTGTCATTTACCGCTGCAACTATGCTATTGTTTCCTTTATAGTAGCACTACAGAGGAAAACTCAGCTTACTAATTTACATGACCTCCTGAACAATCAAAGATACTTAAGTTTGCAGAGTCTGTACAAGGCAGTAAGGAAAGGGCATAAAGTAGAAAGAATAGAATGGCACCAATAAAGACCTGGTGGCACCAGTACTCTAGGCCTCTTCCTAGCCTGCGAACCAGGGTAATACAACCTTTCCCCATACTACGACACCCTTCTTTTCAGCCTTTTTGCCAAAGCTGTGTGACCAACTCACCATGATGCTATGAAATGCTGGCTCTGTTGAGTTCAATGAAGCTCAATACCTTTCTGCCGGTTGGAGGCACAGACCTTCCAGGAAACTGTTCTCTTATCCCAGGATTTCTGCCAACAACTCTACCTATAACAATGTAAACCCAAGTTGCTTCAAGGGAACTGTGGAGCCTTTTCTCTCCTAGTACTGTGAGGGCTGAGCCAGGCTTTTGCATATAGTGGGAGTTTATGAGGCCCCAAAGTCCCCCTGACACTTTGTTGAATCCTTATCCCAAAACATTATGTTGAACCACATGAAATTGCTAATATTATCCTATTACTATTATTATTTTTAGAAAAAGCATCTAGTTCTGTCACCCAGGCTGGAGTACAGTGGTGCAATAATAGCTCACCACAGCCTCAAATTCCTGGACTGAAGGGATCCTCCAGCCTCAGCTTCCAGAGTAGCTGGGACTACAGGTGTGTGCTACCATGCCATTTTTTTCCTGTAAAGACAAGGTTTTGCTATGTTGCCTAAGCTTTGTGTCAAACTCCTGGTATCAGGTAGCCATCCTCTGGCCCAACCCTCTCAAAGTGCTGGGATTACAGGTGTGAGCCACCAAGCCCAGCCCTACCCATTCTTTTTTACCTACAAAAATGACAATTTCATGTAGTTCAACCTAGTATCTCTAATAAGCAGTCCTGTCACGCATAGTTCCATGAATCCTCATTAAGTTTTCTTTTAGGATAAGGCTGTCAGTAACTTGTAAACATTATTTGCAAGGTGGTATTAGTAATACTTCAGCAAATAAATGAAATTATATTAGAATTATATAATTATTTTACTTTAAGAGATAACTAAACATTTTCAAAACTATTTAGAAATTTAGTCCAACTGCCCTCATCTTACAGATAAGGAAACTGAGGTTACAGAGATAAAGCAACTTCATTTTGTTTCTATTTTTATATATCCCACTTATCTCAGAAAATGATTTGCATGGCCAGGTGCAGTGGCACACACCTGTAATCCCAGTGCTTTGGGAGGCTGAGGTGGGAGGATCACTTGAGGTCAGGAGTTCAAGACCAGCCTGGCCAACATGATGAAACCCCATGTCTACTAAAAACACAAAAAATTAGCCAGAAATGGTGGTAGGTACCTGTAATCCCAGTTACTTGGGAGGCTGAGGCAGGAGAATTGCTTAAACCTGGGAAGCAGAGGTTGCAGTGCGCCGAGATGAACTCCAGCCTGGGTGACAAGAGTGAGAGCCTATCTCAGAAAAAAAAAAAAAAAATTGCATTATAGCAAATATACCATACCAGTGTAAGATGTTCCTAAAAGTGGAAACTAGGTGCAGGGGATACAGGAGCTCTCTGTACTATGCAATTTTTCTGTAATACTAAAATTGTTCTAAAAAATAGTTTTTAAAAAATGATTTGAAGTTTTTAAAAACCAAACAAATCCTCATAAAACTGAAATTTATTACAACAAGAATAAAAGGGAAGAAACAGAGAAAAATTATCTCAGGAATCAAATTCCTCAAGGCACATTTCAGCATCCTTTTATGAACATACTGACATCAGATCTGCTAGGAATAAACTAGCAGAGCCCCCAAAGGAAAGGTAAGTTTCAATGTGCCTGAGAAAGGGAAAAGAGCAGTGGCTCGCAAATTGTAACAAATTGGATTGCATTCAAATTAGATAATGAGTATCAGTATACTTCTAAGCAGTAAACCACTAAGCCGAAGATATTGTTGCTGCAGAAAAAGGGAAAGGAAGATTCACTTCTTTTGTACATTAATTTATCCCATAAACACTCATGAATTTCAACTCAATACCAGGAGTCTGCCACAGTGGTAGAGAAATGAACAAGACCTACCTTCCTACTTCTGCTAAGACTCAGAGGGTGAAGACAGCACCCTTAGTAAAGACCAATAGCTGCCTGTGAGCCTACAGTGGAAAGTGACAGTGAGATAAATTATGTATTTGGTCCCCTCTCATCTGAAATACTCCGAAAGGAGTATTTAAGTAAGGTTTAAAAGAGAAGCACCACCACCTAAACTTGGAATAGAGGCATAAATGCTACAAGGACTAAGATATGAAATGGTATTGGCGGGGCGCGGTGGCTCAAGCCTGTAATCCCAGCACTTTGGGAGGCCGAGGCGGGTGGATCATGAGGTCAACAGATCGAGACCATCCTGGTCAACATGGTGAAACCCCGTCTCTACTAAAAATATAAAAAATTAGCTGGGCATGGTGGCGCGTGCCTGTAATCCCAGCTACTCGGGAGGCTGAGGCAGGAGAATTGCCTGAACCCAGGAGGCGGAGGTTGCGGTGAGCCGAGATCGCGCCATTGCACTCAAGCCTGGGTAACAAGAGCGAAACTCCGTCTCAAAAAAAAAAAAAAAAAAAAGAAATGGTATTAAATAATTTGTCACTTAAAGCAAAAACAGAAAAATATTTAAGGACACAAATATTTTACTTCTTGAGGAAGAAACTACAGTACAGACATTTGTGTACAGAGACGAATTATGTTTCTTTCTTCTTTTTTTCTTTTTGAGAGGGAGTCTTGCTCTGTCACCCAGGCTAGAGTGCAGTAGCACAATCTCGGCTCACTGCAACCTCTACCTTCTGGGTTCAAGCGATTCTCCTGCCTCAGCCTCCTGAGTACCTGAGATTACAGGCACACACCACCACGCCCAGTGAATTTTTTTTTTTTTTGTATTTTTGGTAGAGATGGAGTTTCACCATGTTAGCCAAGCTGTTCTTGAATGTCTGACCTTGCGATTCACCCACCTTGGCCTCTCAAAGTGCTGGAATTACAGGCGGGAGCCACCGTGCCCAGTGACAATTTCTGTTTCTTATGAAACAAATTAGCATGCAGCTCCTTATTCAAATCTCATGTGGGGCCTCTCTCTGCTGTTCTCCTCCAACCTCTGGCCTCTCCTACTCAGTCTCCTTTGCTGCCTTTTCTCATCTCCCCAATATCTAAAGTTTGGAAGCCCCAAGACTCAGGCTTCAGACCTTTTCTCCATCTCCATTCCAAGGTAATCTTATCCAGTTTTTTTATTTTTTATTTTTAAGACAGAATCTGGCTCTGTCACCCAGGCTGGAATGCAGTGGTATGATCTCAGCTCACTGCAACCTCTGCCTCCTGGGTTCAAGCAATTCTCACATCTCAGCCTCCCAAGTATCTCGGATTACAAGTGTGTACCACCATGACCAGCTAATTTTTTTTGTATTTTTATTAGAGACAGGGTTTCACCAAGGCAGGAGGATCTCTTGAGGCCAGGAGTTCGAGACCAGCCCGGAAACATAGGGAGATCCCATTTCTCCAAAAAAAAAAAAAAAAAAAAAAAAAAATGCTGGCTATGTGGCATGCACCTACAGTCCCAGCTACTTGGGAGGCTGAGGCAGGAGGGCTGCTTGAGCCAAGGAGTTCAAGGCTGCAGTGAGCTGTGATCACACCACTGCACTCCAGCCTGGGACAAGATGCTGTCTTAAATAAATAAATATCACCTCTCCACATAACACTGGTACTTTTATTTTCCTTACCATGCTTTTTCTGTCCCTATCTAATGATTATGTAATATACCTACCAAAATGCAAATTGCACAAGTGCAAAAGCATTGTTTTATTGAATGCTGTATTCCCAGCTCCTACTTAAAACATACCCTGTTTCATAACCAGTGCTCATTATTACTATTATAGAACAGTAGGTAACATGATCCATATTATCACCAATGGTCTTGCAAAATGCTAACAACTCTATTGGCCACTAAAAAGCAAAAAACAGGCTGGGTGTGGTGGCTCACGCCTGTAATCCCAGCACTTTGGGAGGCTGAGGCAGACAGTCAGGAGTTCGAGACCAGCCTGACCAAAGTGGTGAAACCCCATCTCTACTAAAAATACAAAAATTAGCAGGGCGTGGTGGCATGTACATGTAATCCCAGTTATCTGAGAGGCTGAGGCAGGAGAGTCACTTGAACCGGTGAGCCAAGATTGCACCACTGCACTCTAGCCTAGGCTACAGAGTGAGACTCCATCTCAAAAAAAAAAAAAAAAAGAAAGAAAGAAAGAAAAGAAAAGTTGAGGGGGAGGGAGAGATATAACTTATAACCTGGTCAGTGGCAGACCAATGACTGAACCCCAATCTGATTCCAAATTCTACACCCTCTCCATTACATTAGCTGCCTCCTAAAGCATGGACTACAGAGTCACAGCTCTGTGAGGGGCTCTTCCTAAATAGTGAGGAATAATGACACTTATGTCTGCAGATTTCTTTTGGAAAAGGAGAAAAGAAAGGTAGAATGTGACTAAAGGAACAGAGGGTGCACTAATAGCCTTGGTTTTGTTGTGATCTCTATAAATTTGGGAACACCAAGTCTCCTTTCTAAGCTTTCTCGGTAAGATACTAATCACAGTCAGACCCTCTAATATAACTCCTGGGGCCAATGTAAAGATCATTTCAACCCACGTTTATTAAACCCAAAGGCAATCTAGTCAAGTTATCAAATGCCCTGGGAACAGTTTCCCAGCTCCACCCACTTATTAGTTGTGGGACTCCAGGCAAATTGCTTTTTCTATGAGTACGTGTTTCTTCATGGGTAAAATGTGAAGATATAGAAATAACTCACCCCATAGGATTGTCGGAAAGATTAAATGGGCCATTGGCCGGGCGCGGTGGCTCATGCCTGTAATCCCAGCACTTTGAAAGGCCGAGGTGGGCGGATGACCTGAGGTCAGGAGTTCGAGACCAGCATGGCCAACTTGGAAAAACCCCGTCTCTACTAAAAAATATAAAATTAGCCGGGCGTGGTGGCGCATGCCTGTAATCCCAGCTACTTGGGAGGCTGAGACAGGAGAATCGCTTGAACCCAGGAGGCAGAGGTTGCAGTGAGCCGAGATCGCATCATCGCACTCCAGCCTGGGCAACAAGAGCGAAAGTGTCTCAAAATAAATAAATAGGCCCTTATGTGCAATGCATTCAGTAGCACCTGACAATCTGTGACCACTCCGTACAACGCGCCATAACTATTACCATCACGTGCTAGATCCTGGGATATGCAGATGAAAAGAGCAAGGCATAGCGTCTAACGAACGAGCTCACGGTGTCAAAGAGGGGCAGGAAGGTGCAGCGAATGCAAAAACCCAGAAGCGAATGCAGCTGCGCCTGGAGAAGGCGGCTGCGAAGGGATAACGGAGCAAGGTCCAGAAGAATGGGAGCTCCAGAGTGGGGCGGCGGGTGGGACTGGGCTTTCGGGCAGATCACGTGCAAAGCCGCCAGGGCGCAGGGAGCCACAGGGAGCCACAGGGGCTGGAAGGCGGGAGAGCGCGGCGCCAGCCCTCACAGCCCCGGACTGGGGCTCCTGGACGCGAGGGTCAGGAACCTGTCCTGCGGAGCCGAAGGGCAGCTCAGCGTGCTAGCGGCAGCGGGAAGCAGAGGCAAGCGGGCCCCAGGAAGCAGAGGAGGCAAGCGGGCCCCAGGTCCTACGACGCGTCCCAACCCTGCTCTGGGCCTCGGGGGTCCCCCAGGGTAACAAGAGGCCGTTGCCGGAACAGGATTCCCTCAGGTGCCCTAGACGGGCGGGTCCCTGGGCCTCTGGCGGTTAACCGGAGCACCTCCCGCCTGCCCCTGAGGCCCCACCTCACCACGCTCCGCTCCCGCAGACGCCCGGCTCGACGCTCAGTAGTGGAGCCTGCGGTAGCAGCTGCTAAGGCCCGGCCAGGGCCGGGGGCGGGGCCCTCCTCCCTCTCCCAGGCCAAGGGGCAGGCCCCGCCCCCCAAACTCCCGCCTGTGGGAGGGGCCCGCCCCGCCAAGTCCTGCGCCTATAGGCAGACTGCGCCGGCGCAGGGCCTACCGCCATGTTGGGTATTGGCAGCCGACTTACTAGAGTAGGCCCAGAAGGAAAAGGGGGTATTATTTATAGAATTATAAGATCCCTCGCCAGAAATGAGGACCGTCAGAGTCTCTGGATTCGCGAAAAGGACGTTTCGGAAGCAGAAAAAAAGAAATTGCCCTCAATCATCTCCCTTTTGGCTTCAGAATTACATACAACGCATGTGCACGGTCATCCGGTTCTAGGTGCGCCTGCGCACAGCTCCCCGCACAAACGATGCTACAATTACAACTGTGTGAGAAACAGAGGGGCTCGCTGGTACCAGTTACCGATTAAACTAGCAGCGCGACCAGTTTCTGGGGCTTTCTCACCTTGCTGCTCAGACGCTCAGAGCAGCTTCAGGCAGCACAACACTTACAGGCGAGTAACTCAACACTCGGTTTTGTCTACAGGTCTCTGCACAGAGTGTTACCTTTACCTGTAGCAGTTCGTCTGCATAAGCCTGACGTCTCCTAGAGCACCTTTTTCTTCTGTGGAACCCATGCGTTATTCCCTTAGCATTTTGTGTATAAATTGTTAATGCGCTTTCTTACAGTTGTAAACTCCCTTTACCTGCCTCACTCTTGCACTCAGTGGTTCTCAATTTTTAGTAGGAATTAAAAAAAAAAAAAATCCAGTTTAGTGTCTTTGGTGATTTAAAAAAAAAAAAATTTAAAAAAACAGGCCGGGCGCGGTGGCTCATTCCTGTAATCCCAGCATTTTGGGAGGCCGAGGCGGGCGGATCACCTGAGATCGGGGGTTCAAGACCTGCCGGACCAACATGGAGAAACCCTGTCTCTACTAAAAATACAAAATCAGCAGGGTATGGTGGTGCACGCCTGTAATCCCAGCTACTGGGGAGGCTGAGGCAGGAGAATCGCTTGAACCTGGGAGGCGAAGGTTTCGGCGAGCCGGGATTGTGCCATTGCACCCCAGCCTGGGCAACAAGAGCGAAACTCCGTCTCAAAAAAAGAAAGAAAGAAAAATAAAAGACTGAGGAGTAAACAGGTTTCAGATTACCAAGATACACCAATAAAGGATAAATGGAGAAGAGGCTCAAGACCAAACAGTCGTCTTTGATGTTTGTAAAGGGGGATTCATTATTTCATTCCCTTATTTATTCTTTCACCCATTCACCCAGTGAACATTTATTGAGCATTGACTATGTTCTAATATTAAATAATATTACGATGTATTAAGGACAAGTTGGCAATTGTATTAAAATGTAAAGTAGTACAACTGGATATTGTCTGAGCCAAAACCCAAAGTGGAGTTAGCTGGTGCGTGAAGCAGGGATGGGTGGGGGGTGGGTGGGAGTGGTTTTGGGATGAGACTTCCACCTCAGATCATCAGGCATTAGATTCTCATGAGTGTGCAACCTAGATCCCTTGCATGCGAAGTTCACAACAGGATTAGCCTCCTATGAGAATCTGATGCTGCTGCTGAACTGACAGGAGGTGGCGCTCAGGTGTTAATTCCTGCTTATCTACTTAACTCTTGCTGTGCAGCCAGTGTCCTAACAAGTCACAGACTGGTAGTAGTCCTGCTGTGCAGCCAGGGTTCTAACAGATCAGCAGCCCAGGGGCATTGGGAACCCCTGCCCCAGTGGTTCTCTAGGCACAAGACACATCAGCCTTTACACATCTCCTGCAAATAGCTCGGTGCGGTGGCTCACACCTGTAAATTCAGCACTTTGGGAGGCCAAGACAGGTGGGTCACTTGAGCCCAGGAGTTAGAGACCAGCTTGGGCAACATAGTGAGACCTTGTATCTACAAAAAAATTTAAAAATGCAGTGGGAGGTTTCGCTTGAGCCCAGGAGGTTGAGGCTGCAGTGAGCTGTGGTGGCCCTATTGCACTCCAGCCTGGGTGACAGGAGTAAGACCTTGACTCAAAAAAAAAAAAAAAAAAAAAAAGAAAAAGAAAAAGAAAAAGAAAAAAATTGGAAAAAATACCCCACATTTTGCAAACTGCAGGGAGCATTTGAGACGTACAAACAGGTGTTCCTACCCATCACCTGGCTTGGGGCCCAGGAGTCCTATAAAGACTTAAACCAGGCAACTCAAGTCTGATCATGTTCAGACCTGTCTGATGAACCAGACTGGGGAGTTCTCAAAGGAGGCTGGATTGGAGGGAGAAACAATGGATCAGTTGAAAGAAAATCAGCCCTGGTCCCTGCTAGGTGAGGGGAAGAGTTTCTCCTTTACATCTCCCAAATTCCATCTCTAGAAATATGCCTCACACTCAGACCCTCTCTGGGTGTTATAATATGAATCTTTCCTGCATCCAGCCTTTCTCATTATTTATACACATTCCTCCTAACCCATGCCAAGAGGCTGTCTGGACTAAACTGAATTTAAAAAAATATACATGTGAAGTTTCAAAGTGAGGTGCTAAATCTCTCTCTCTCTCTCTCTCTCTCTCATATTCTGTTAGCCTAAATTCTGTTTTAAAGTTCCTAAGCCCCTTATCCTAATATAAAGGGAATCACAGGGTAGAGGATAGAGAATTTGTGTGAAGATATTTCTCCTTCCATTCCTCCTTAGGGAAGATTGAGGGGACATTACCTTAACCACTCAAACCGAGTGACTGGGAGAGGGGGCTTCCATGAGAACCTGAGGTGCAGAATCCATATCATTGCAGTTAGGGAATATAGTGACTAGGATATACTTCCTGCCTTTGAAATCTAGCAGGAAGAGACAAGCCTGCTGACTACTAGGTCCTGTGCAGTAGGGCCTCCTGGAGGTATAAAGGGACCCCAGGAACAAGAAGCTGGACAAATTGCTATTGGTAATAGATCCCTTTGCTAAGGGAACTGCAGGAGAGGGGCCAGTAGGGAACCCCTGAAGAGTGTATAAAAACACCCCATGGATGGACTGGGCATGGTGGCTCACACCTGTAATCCCAGCACTTTGGGAGGCCAAGGTGGGTGGATCACCTGAGGTCGGGAGTTCAAGACCAGCTTGACCAACATAGAGAAACCCCATCTCTACTAAAACTACAAAATTAGCCAGGTGTGGTGGCACATGCTTGTAATCCCAGCTTGTGAGCTATTCATTCATTATTTTTAAAATATTGATTGAGCACCTATTATGTGCCAACACTTAGCTAGACACAGGGAAAGACCCAAAGAACAGTAATAAATGACCTTTGTCCAGAGCCTCTGTTCACAAACATGGCGGGCAAGCAAGTAAAGAAACAGTTCACACACATACAGTGTAGTAGATTCTATAAAGAGGGAGCAGCTGGCTGCACAGAGGCAGTGCCTCTATGACTTGTTCGTGAAGGATAAAAAAGCTAAAATTAGCTGGGTGTGATGGCACACTCCTGTAGTCCCAACTATTTGGGAGGCTGAGGCAGGAAGGATCGCTTGAGCCCAGGAGGTTGAGGCTGCAGTGAGCTGTGTTCAAGCTACTGCATTCCAGCCTGGGCAACACAGCAAGACCCTGTCTCAAAAAAAAAAAAAAAAATGCAAAGCAGACAAACCAGGCATGATTGGCATGTGGCTGTAATCCCACCTACTTAATAGGCTGAGTCGGAAGAACCTCTGGAGTTTAGGAGTTCAAGACCAGTCTGGGCAGCATAGCAAGACCCCATCTCAAAAAAAAAAATGCTAAGCAAAGTGGCGGGGGTAGGGTGGTGGTGGGGATTCCAAGCAGCGTGTGCAAAGGCACAGCAGCATGCTACAGCATGGGAATGCCAGACACGCCTCTTGCTGATGCCACCACTTAATTGAATTGTGTGACTCTCTCTGGTTGGATTCCCTTCGACAGCTGGATATTTTCTCCCTGGTCCTGACTCCACCTCAGTAGGCAGTGCTTATTCCAGCCCCAAGCTCCCTCTCACTGACCAAGTCAGACTCTAAGTGACCAGCGTACCCAAGCTTGAGATTTCTTGAAGTGGAAGACATCTTTTCACTGACACTCAGGGCTTTCGAAATAAAGGATGTTCAGTCCAGTTCCCACAGGACCAGGTCCTCTCCTTCCTCAAAAATAGGCCCTTGGTCAGGTGTGATGGCTCACACTTGTAATCCTAGTACTTTGGAGGCGGAGGTGGGCGGATCGCTTGAGGCCAGAAGTTTGAGACCAGTCAGGCCAACATGGCAAAACCCTATCTCTATAGAAATACAAAACTTACCCAGGCCTGGAGTCACGCACCTGTGATCCCAGCTACTTGGAAGCCTGAGGCACAAGAATCACTTGAACCTGTGAGGAGGAGGTTACAGTGAGCTGAGATTTCACCACTGCACTCCGGCCTGGGTGACAGAGTGAGACTGTCTCAAAAAAAAAAAAAAAAAAGGAGGGCCCTTAACAATATTCTCTTTTTTTTTTTTTTTCCGAGACTGTAACTGGGACTACAGGTGTGCGGCACCATGTCCTGCTTGCCTTATCTTCTTGAACAACCCTCCTTCCCCCTCTGAGCCTCAAATTCTTCAGCTGCAATGTGGGGATAATAATACTTATCTGCTAGGGTTCTTATACACAAAGGGGGAATTGGAATTAGATGGAGGGAAGGAGAGGTTCAAGAATGACAACAAGGATTCCAGTGATTGGAGAGGTTTCCCATGAGTAGAGATTGGAGTGTAAGGGGAGATGGGAACCTTTTATTTTATTATTAACTTTGGTATTATTTGAATATTTTTACAATGAACATTATATAATTTTGTATTTAAATATATTTGGTATGAATATCATGCATCAATAAAAAGGTATTAAAAAAAAACTTTTAGGGCTGAGCACAGTGGCTCACGCCTGTAATCCCAACACTTTGGGAGGTCAAGGCAGGAGGATCATCTGAGGTCAGGAGTTCGAGACCAGCCTGGCCAACATGGTGAAACCTTGTCTACTAAAAATAAAAAATTAGCCAGGTGGCACTTGCCTGTAGTTCCAGCTACTCAGG